ATGAAAAAGCCCTCCTTTCCCTCCTCTATTCACCTTCACGCTTTCTTTCTTTTTCTAACTGCTCCATCTTTGTTTCCCGCTCCTAGTCTGGATTGATTTAACTGTCCTGTTTCAATAGTCTCTGCAGCAGTAGATGTCAGCCATATTGGAACAGAACTTGAAGACTTGACTCTGCTCAGGGCTTTAAGGGCGACGTATTTGAGTTTCAGTTATAGACTGTGTGAATGAGATTTAACCCACTCTGAATTATCTCCCAGCTCTGCAGTTTCCAATAGTGTCCATGAAGCCTTTTAGTGTCTTACAGCTTTTTAGCTTCTACAGATCCTATAGATAGAAATAATCTCCACACTACATGACTGTTATTCTGTAACAGGCCCCATTCACACATTGACTGCTCTCCTACAAATTTTCATATTTACCCCGACTTTCCAGTCAGCTCTCTAGTGAATTTAAAAAAATAAGTTTATATGAGCCGATGTGTGAACGCAGCAGGTAACTTCAGGAAAATGATTCCTGATCGAGTGGGCAGGGGTGAGAAACTGCTGCAAGAATTGAAAGTGCTTTGTACTCTTTTCTGCCTGCCAATAACCTATTCTCCACATATTTGTTGACATTTTGAATCCTTCAATTTACACATAAAATGTCATCATAAGGCTGTTGGTTATGTAGTAAACGTTTCACTGAGACTTGCGTGGCTTTCTTTTTTACATCATGTCCTGCCTCCTGAGACAAACCCCCACCCCCCACCCACCTCCTGTACAACAGGGAAAGTGTGTGGGACTGTAAGGGACATGTGTGCATATGGAACTCTGGAAGATGTTCAGTGCAGGATGTCCTTAAAATTGTCTAAAAAATTACAAGCGTGCAGCAATGCATTTGAAAAAGGGGCTTTAGTCGCCACCTCTGAACGCTGAAGTACCCAGAAAGAGTAAAACAAAGAAGGAATATGCAGAACAAAACAGCTAACATTATTACACTCAATTCAAAACACAAACCAATGAAAAAGTATTCTACAAATGTTAAACCTGACATATTTGGAGTATTTACTTTTAATCCATCAAGTTGTGAGATTTTTTTTTTTTTTAAAGAATGCTCAAAATCTATTTTTTTCAGCCTATTTGAGTGAATAGGGTCCCATATCAAACAGTATCTAGTAGTATTAAAGAAAAAGCCTGCCATGTTTGAACAATAAGACTGAGCCACCATTAAGTCGGTCAGGTTGAAGAGGTCAAATTAAAGACATCAAGTCACTGAAGCAGGCCTGATATACAGAGACAAACAATAAACAGTTAATAAATCAAGTTGTCATAACTCAGTGTGAGTTTTATGTTCATTGAGCACCACTCCCTTCTCATTCTGACTTTAACATCAGCCTCCAGAAATGACACAAACGTCTACGGGGAGACGATGAAGAAAGAGACAAACAGAAAGCAGAGCAGAGTAATCCAGTTCTTCTGAACACAGCTGTAATTAGAAACAGACACACTTTGAAATGTCCCCACACACATTCATCTGCTCTGACATGTTTAGAGACACAAAATATAAAAAACATGTCAAGAAAGTTCCCTGAAGGTTTAAAAAAAAAAAAAGAGACTCACAAGTTTCAGCATTTACAGGAAAAATCATTATCAGTGCATACTGAGTTTTTTTTTTTTGATTATATAACATCAACAGTCCTTCTATGAAGCTTAGTTTTAAACCAGATTTTCTCTGGTTTAACTGTCCCACTGAGCCTTTTCACAACCAAAGCCGCTTATTTCCACCTCTCATGATCACATTCCTGCAGGGACACAAAGACGGTGCACTGATGCTTTGATTAGCCACACAGGACAACACAGGGGTCAACACACCAGAACAAGCCCCACAGTTTCACCTCCCTGCCTCCAGCCTCTCCTCTATGCACACTCATTATTAATTCGCCTTCCGGGCTTCTCGCAAATCCCATCAGTGTGTTTGTCTGGATCCCGCTCTGAGGCTTTTCCGCCTCCTGAGAAAAGAAGAAACGGGGAGAGAGAGGAGCGATGGAGTCACTCTCCCAGAGCGTGGATCCAGGATTAGATGGAAAAGAGCAAATAGCATGGAGCATATAGAGGGAGGCAGTCGGGGGGGTTAATACTCCAGACAAAAGAAATTAATTAGAAATCCCATTGGAGCATTGCTCGACTGAATAAGGATTGGAGGATTATTGGATAAGCACATGAAATACAGTTTTTTGTGTAGGACAGAGCCCTCAGCATCATTACTCTTTAAATTTAAAGAATGGATTTAAAGTACACTGCAAAATACCTGCCTAAAAAAGGTTTAAGTTGAAACTGAAACTGAACTCAGTACATATTCAACCTCCTTCATTTGGAGACAGGACAGTGGATAGAGTCAGAAGTTGGGCAAAGAGAGAGTGGGGAATGACATGGGGTAAAGGAGAAGGTCAGACTCGAACCCGGGGCACTCACCTTAGAGGACTATAGGACTCTGCACATAAGACACACACAGCAACCACCAGGCCATTGGCAACCCATAATCAACCCCTTTAAACCAAGTTTTAACCATGTTTCCCTGTTAGTAACTTCAAGTTTGGAAAATGTAACTTAATTCTGCTTTTCTGACTGAAATCATTCTCTAGTTGTCTGATTAGGTTTACAGAAAATGTACTGCTGCTATATCACTGCAACATGCAAATCTTAACAAGTATATTAATCGAAGTCCTTCCTATCTCACTGCACTAGATACAACCCACATGTTGTTTTAATATATTACACGTGACACTAAAAGACCTGAGTTGCCTGTATGAGTAATGAATAGCTGCCAGCACATCAAGAAAAATGCACTTGTTAAGTTTCTTGATATGAGTTCTTTATTTTATTGCAAGGAACTAAACGATGACATTTTGCTTGCTGCATTAGCATGTATTTTTTTTAGATATAACAAACAATTCAGGACTTTTATTTGGCTTTGCATATCTTGAAATAAGAAGTTTATCTTGACTTGTCAGGTGAATGTGGCATATATTACATGTAATGACTTGTTTTAAACACTTGATAGGTTGGATTTGAGTTTTTGCAGCGTAGTATTACACAACTCATCTCCAAGTCCACTTTTGGCATCAAGTTTGTTGCAGGTTTTATGATGCCAGGTTTTAATTAGGAAAAAAAGGATTAAATTGAATAATATCTCAGGCCGTGTTGCATTAGTTTTTAGCTGTCGGTTGTTGGTTCCAGTGTTGAGATAGTGCCATGATAAATGTGGATACTTCTCTTTGTGGCTTATAGTTGTTTGTTTCCCTTAACAAATTAACTTCACCTCTCTAATTTTACCTTCTTTAACCTCCTCAGGAACTGTCATTGGAAAATTAAGCCATAAAGCTGTCCTTGTCCCAGTATACAAGTAACTGGTAAAGTATTGATTTAACTTAGCAAGCAGTGAACTGGTTGTAAGTTGAGGTGAATGTGCATATATTAAATGTAATGACTTGTGTGGTGTGTTAGTTTGACAACAAGAAATTCGACTTAATATGATTTTCTGGTCGGACAAACGTGTTTACAAGTATTTTAAAAGTCTAGTTTTAGTCAGACTAACACTATGAAATCACTTTTTCTAATTGCACCTTAACATACAGAGGGTTGTGTTCTGAGGAATGATTTTTCCAGCACATGTGAACTATCTTATTACAAAAAGGTCACACGCTGTTTAGCCAAAGATAAAAATTGCAAAAAGGAAGTATGATAAAAAGAGAAGAAAACAGGTTTGGTTCAGGTGGCTCTGTGTCTGAGTGGATTCCTCAATGAATGAAGAGGAGCTGGAGAGTCGCCTCAGGGTCAAAAGATCAGAGAGAGAAAAAGAACCACAAGTTAACAAGAGACAGAGTCAGAAACTCAAGGCCAAGGTCTCTCTCTTTCTCTCTCTCTCTCTCTCTCCCACACACACACACACACACACACACACACACACACAGGTGCTGTGGAGGAAGAGGCTCTGAGAAGCTTTGTAGTTGTTCCTCCCTGCAGGCAGCTCTGATGAGAAGGTTTATAATTTGAGAGCAACAGTCACAAAAAATGTGAAGCATTCATCACCACTGATAACAAGCAGGATGTTGGACATGAAACTAAATGATGGAAACCTCAACAGGAAGGGCTCCTTCATAGGACAAATGAAACCCTGACTTATCCCAAATAACACAAGTTATTTCCTAACTTTGTTTATTTTATCAGTTCAATCATTTTCACAACCCCATATCACGAGACATCTACAGCTCTACAATTCGTTAAGCAGACACTTTTGTCCAACCTGACACACATCAGAGTGTTAGTACACCACAAGCAAGGATCTTAAAGGATCAGTTCAGTATCCATGTGGCTCGTTTTGTCTTTCTGATCTGTGCACTCCAAAGAGCGAGCTCTCAGAAGACGCTAGAATCAGCACTACAATCAAAAGAATGATAGAATATAGTAACATGCACGAATATGGGAGCCCAAAGTGGACATGCTTTCATATAATTTACTCAATTTCCCCTTCATAACGAGTATAATTACTGGTTGTGTTATTGAGTTCCTGACTTTTATGTTTCGTATCCACAGAGAAAAGGGTACAGAAATATTAAAATTCTAGCTATTTTAAAGCTCCTGTGAAGAACTTTTGTATTGTGTTGATTTTGGCGACCCCTGTGGACAAAGTGGTACATCTCATCTCTTTGTTGATTTTGTTCTGCACATGTGTAAGTAGTGTTTTTAACGGAAAATCTCTAAATTATTTGATTACCAGTTAAAAACTCCTCACAGGAGCTGTAAGATCTATTTAGTCATAAAATGTCTCAAGGCTAAACAGACCATTACACCTTGCAGCGTGGCGGACTTTTCTTCTTCTCTTTTTTTTGCAGTGTGCACCATGGTGTGCACCTAACGGGGAAAACTTGAACACACACTCCACGCCCACAAAGTGTGTGCAGAGGCGGGGGGAGTCCAGTCTGTGAGCAGGCGACGTACAAACACTCCTCCAGGACGCACGGAGGACGCGCGTAAAAGCAACTGAGCTGCTCTCTCTCAACAACAGCGTTAAACTCCTCCAGCATGTAGCACAGTGACACTGGGAACTTCCTTCATCTTGCGGATGCAATTCTTTGTCTATAACATCAGATAAATCGGGGTTTTATTGTTTGCTACGACCCGGGTCTGTGTTTCCTATGATGCTCGGCAATCAGAGCAATGTTCGCTCCACGCTTTGGATTCACAATGTGAGGATTTGTGTCTGGATAAATAAGGACGCTGCGTAAAGGAGAAGCTGAAGTCCCCCCAGTGTGTCCGGTTAAGCTTCGTTTCAGTCCCCCTAAAGAGCGGAATGGGGCCGAAATCTGCACTGATTCTTGTCGCTTTGTTGGGTAAGAAGATGTAACATTTACTTCTCCATGTTGTGCAGCGAGTTTGGAGATGCTGGATGTGGTGTGCCGAAATGATTGAAAAACGTGTTTTCATCCACGTGTGCAATGAAGACAAAATGCTGATAAAAATGCTTAAAGAAGCTATTTGCCCAGTGTATACCTCACTTAGCATGAGATCTTCCAAATGATGTACATATTTTAAATGTAAGTGTCTTTTGGGATGTTTTTTACTCCTGACTCTGCTTCTTCTCCCTCAGTACACCTGTTTACCATCCTGCCAGTATGTGTTTGTATCTGTCTGTCCAACAGGGTTAATCATAATAATGGTAATAATTCTAAGTTTTCCCTCATGCCCCACTGATGAACATATTGGAAAGCTAAAAGGCAATAAAAATCTTCCCTGGGGCTGCTTGACAGATGAAAGTGCTTTGAGAGTTAAGAGCCACTTAAAAACATCCATTCCTGCTGAAACCCCTGTCTGAGCAGCAGAGGATTATGGGACTGCAGTTGACCCAATCCATCTGTTGTCAGTGACAGTTGAAGGAAACTTTTGGCTGAGACTTCAAATGACCGGATTTAGATAAGGTTGATATTTTTGAGTCTACATATTCTAAAGTGTGTTTAAGTGAATCTAACATTCAATTAGGCGGTGTGTTATTGCAGCCTTTCATGAGGCAATAAAAATGCTCTGTCAGCCTGGATTAGAGAGTGATGTGAATTTACAGCGGGGGAGAAAACCGGAACCTTAATTTAAGCAGCAAAGTTTAACAAAGCCTCAGAGAAGTTGTTTACACTTCAGATAATATGACTTCTACTGAGCCTCAATCTTTCTTTAAGTGGTATTACATATTTAGAGTCTGGAGTTTACTTAATGCAAAAGATTAAATTATCAGGACACCTTACAACCCTTCATATATTTGTGTTGCTTTTTGAATTTACATTTTTCTTTTGAATTTGCATAGAAAATTTGTTGCTGGATCGCTCACAAAGTTTCATCATCCTTCCAGTGTCTGTAGATAAGTTTTTGTAAATCTGGCACATCGTGGACAAAAGTTCTGACAAAATCTTTACTTGTGAGAAAAGGGCTTAAGGAGGCATCTCAACTATACAAATAAAACTCCCCTCATGCTCCCGTTGCCAAAATAAGAAACATTTGGCCTTTTATACTGAATCACCATGAACGGCAAGAAGTAAGTGCTGTAATTGTAGAGGCATCAGTCAGAAAACTTGCAAAATTATTTAATATGCTGGGAAATATTCTTAGGAAAAAATACCGACATCAACAAAGTTTGAAAAACTGCAGCAAGACAAATAAAGGGAGGTCACAAGTTCAAACAAGCAAACAGGAAAGGAAGACAAATGATTGTAACCGCCTGCAGCCCAGAGTCTGCCGCTGAGCAGCGTTCCTCTGATGAATCAGTCAGTGCTGGAGCAGGAAGAGGAGGAAAAAAATCAACACAATTATAGGACAATATTCAACTTTTTTTTGTTCATGAAACTTCTTTAATTAATACCGAAGCCTCTATGAGCTAAGAAAGCACACAAGACCATCAGCAAAAAGAGAGATTGTTACTTTTAGTCTAAATAAATGAATGCCTGATACCGCTGCTGCTGGGTAGATGTTAGACAAAGTGATTAACAGCATGGCACTAGCTTTTTTTATTCCCTCAGCAAATATTGTACAGGACACATGTCAGGACAAAAGAATCAGAAGAGATGTACAGCTTTGTCTACAGTAGGTTCTGAAATTGACACACATTGTTTTGTGCAATATAGCGGTAGCAAGTTGATGTGTGATAAATTAAGTGCAATTAATCTTTCAGTTTTTGTCTGTCTGCTAATTATTATGAACTTCATCATGCCCCTCCTGAATAAAAAACATAGAACCAATTCGTCTGAGGGTAGTTGATGGGTAGCTTGAGCTTCATCTGCATCAAAATAGTGGAAAAGCATGGTAATTACATTCAGGCCTCCATCCAACATGTAACGTCTTCACATGCTAAGTGCATTGCCTGTTTACAAAAAGTATTTATTCTTACTTATTGCGATAAATTCTTATATTGTTTATACTTATGGAACTGTTAATGGTTGTGCAGCCCTTGTGATTAGTGCTATGTTAAATTAAAAAACTTAACAAAGATGATAAATAGGATAAACATCATACTTGTTCAACCTGTTAGCATGTTCACTGTGAGCACGCTAGCAATTTGCCCTATACTTTTAGCGAACATAATTCACAGCATGGCTGTCAACTCGTTCAGATTTTTTTGTCTCAAGTTTTGTTGTTTATTTTAATGGTTTAAATGTAGGTTTTCCTCCTCATTATCACCAGTGTATTTATCTGTCTGTGAGGCTAATGTTTGCTCTGGCGGTCAGTTGCCTGTTAGCATGTTTAGGGTTAGCATCATCCAAAGACTGCAGTCTTACTTAGTTGCTGGTGTGACTGTCGACTGTTCTTACCCCCAAAAAAGTGAATTTTGTAGTTTAACATCATTGGGAAATTTATAATCCATGCAATTGATAAATGTATAAGTTGTAAAAAAAATTCCATTAAGTTTGTTTAAAGTCAAGCTTCTCAAGCGTTGTTTGGTTTCCTGCTCTCAGTGAAACATGTTCACAGCCACATGAAGAGATAACCCAAAGATCAGTCCTTTGTCCGCCCTCTGCTTCTGGCACTTGTGGATTTTTCTCTTCCCATAAACGTTGTGGAGTGTCTCTGCTTGTCTGGGGTCCCAGTGCTGTGACCTCACTGGTGGGAGTGGGCCAACTGGAAATGTTCTCTGTGGTTCAGGGCTCTGGGAGTTTTGTGGGTGCTTTGATTTAGATAGAGAGCAGCAGTTTGGGAACACATTGGCAGCCATGAGGGACAGGAGAGGCTTTGAATCCAGCTGCTCTGATTGTTGTAATGAGGATAGTTGATTGTTTTTTTTTTCTTTAAAGATATTGGATTAAAATCGCTCACATTAAACCGTAAATTACTCTTCCTCTTAAAAGCTAATTTTACAAACAGACTACAAAGTCTTGCTCATTTCCTCGTTGGTTTCACCATGAGCCTGGTTTCCATTTGGTGTTCTTGTTTGGCTTTGATTTCCTGAAACTCTATAAAAGAGTCAGTAAAGCTCTTTATTTACATTCTGATATTTAAAATATACAATATTTTTTTATCCTGGAGCAGGTGTGTTACTGCTGCACAGTTTGACATCAGATACTTTACACGAACACTTCATTTACTTACATTCTAGTAAAACCGCAAAGACAAATGCTGCCAGATCTACTTTTCTTTAATCTGGTTCAAGTTTCTTTCACACAGCAGAGGTAACGGATAAGAATCTGTTCTGCTTCAATTGTTTCCAGAAAGCTGAAAGTGGGAAGTTCTTGATTTTTTTAGAAACTAATAAGCATGAGCATTTACAGACTAAATATATATGTATATGTATTTATAAAGGTCCTGATGATATTTATTTAGTACATTGACTGGATATAAAGATGGACGGCCCATTTCCAAATCTTCCTGTTGTTCAAAAGTGGGGCCAAAATACCCTACTTGAGGGGTGAGTCATATCATTGCACTGATGATGTCTTTGGAAGACAGATGACGCTGCAGAGATTCTGTTCATCTTGTCTCATCATCTTTTTGTAAAGTAAATCAACATCAAAATACCCGAAGTGTGTGTTCAGCACCTCAGAGTCAAGAGCAGCTTTTGAATCAGAGTTTTGGTGAAGTATTTTTCTTGACCATTTTTCTTAAAGTCAGAGGGAATTATAAACTCTAATGTACAGAAGTAAAAAAAACAACAACTTGTTCTTCTCATAAGTTGAATAAAATCAACACTATTTCTCTAAAAATGCACACAGTGGATGAAAGGCCAACGTCGATCTTTTTAGTTAAGTCTACCCAAGAGTCCTAAGGAAGCTGAACGTTGTCAATTTAGGATCAGAGAAGTTAAGAAACACAGCTTATAGCCAGAACAAAAGGCTTTTGTTTTGTTTACTTGTAAACTAAGAATGATTTTGTTTTTAAAGGACCAAGTGGTCTCTAGATACCTTTATGAAGAGGCTAACAGAGTGAGAGATTCATATTTGTGATTCAGTGCATATTGTTTACTGCCAAGCTTGAGAGTTTTATTTATCTCTGTACTAAATCTTCAATGATTAATAGAGTCATTTCAAACTATGGTAGAAAAGCACTTTGTGATGTTGTATGAATGGATGCTGCTGTCTAAATAAACTTGCCTCGCCTAGAAATGATGTTTTATCATTTTGATCATTGAATAAAATGATCTATTGAGTAATATTGAAGACAAGAAAGTCAGTATAAGATGATTAAACAAGAACATAAATGACAGATGAATCTACAACGAAAGTAATTGTTAGTTGCAGCACTAGTATGAACTTTTTAATGTTTGTGTGTGTGTGTGTGTGTGTGTGTGTGTGTGTGTGTGTGTGTGTGTGTGTGTGTGTGTGTGTGTGTGTGTGTGTGTGTGTGTGTGTGTGTGTGTGTGTGTGTGTGTGTGTGTGTGTGTGTGTGTGTGTGTGTGTGTGTGTGTGTGTGTGTGTGTGTGTGTGTGTGTGTGTGTGTGTGTGTGTGTGTGTGTGTGTGTGTGTGTGTGTGTGTGTGTGTGTGTGTGTGTGTGTGTGTGTGTCCTACCTTGAAATTCACCTGCTATTAAACCAGAGGCTCTGTTGTGAAGTTAAAAGACTGTTTGCTTTCAGGACCTCAGCAGGTGTCCCTTTTAAATGTGCACACACACACACTAACACTCTCATTTCTACTGTAATTATTGTTTAAAAAAAGCTGTTTACAGAGACTCAGGTTTTCTGCTTTGTTTCAGCCCTGACAACATGTGCAAAAAAAGTCTCACATCCACATAAACACCCGCACACTTACACACATTACATAGAACAAACTGTGAAGCCTCCTCTTTGATTTTGAACGTGGCCTCAGCCAGCAGTGCAGCGTTACTAATGCCACCAGCTGAGTGTGGGGATCAGACCTCCGCACCGTCCAGTGTTTCCACTGAGCAGAGCTGTGATGCGGTGAATTAACACACAAACCTCAGCTCACACATATGAGACGTGTCTCACTGGAGGGAGCTTTCTTCTGAGTTGTTGGCTTCACTTCATCATGTGGTGGTTGTTTTATTTGTACCTTCCTCTGAGTGTTTTTGTTTCCAATTTTAAAGTGCACACTCTACCGCAGCGGCATTCCAAGGCGTTACATTATTTTGCCAGGCAAGTCAGGTCTGATATAAAGAATCTCAGGCTAAATCTTCATATTTCAAGCTGGATTTTGATGATATTAGAGTATTAGAGGGAGTAAACCTTCACTGGAATGTGAGCTTCAAGGCTTTTATTTGGCTGCAGGCTTAAAAAATGCTTTCATTTCCGATATTTGATCCCTTTAAGCTCAGACGATTGTTGAAGGTATTGTCGTTTCATATGGTGCATTGAGGTTATGCGGACAGGGTGGGAACTTGGGAGTTTTTTTTATCTTTGTTTGCAGCTTGATTCCAGGGTTTGCTTTAGTTTTTGTGGTGGCTGCAGAAATCTCATATCAGTTCTTGAACTTGCACATGTAAACTTTACCTTTTCATCACATGTTTTACTAATATGAACACATAAATAGTGCACTCACACCAGGTGTCACAGGTCACTGATAAAGCCCAGTAATCCCCGGGGTGATGACATGAGTTAAAATGACTACATTAAACCCTGTAAGCACTTCAAAGCGTCCCCAATGATTGAATAAGCAGAGTGAAAACATGAGGGAAACTTCAAACCTAACAAGAGAACTTCTTTTTCGTTTTTGATCTTTGTATAATTAATGTTCTTTTTGGTTTCCCTAAAAGCATTTGTGCTCAGTTGTAAGGATGTAAAGATCATAAAGAAAAAAGGTCTGCAGGAGTGAACTTGTTTTTAATTGGTTTTCTTGACATTTCAGCCTCAAAAATGTAAATATCAGTGCTTTTTAAATCACCAGAAGGCACATTTTTGTTCTTAAATCTGTTTAAGTCAAATATTAACCCACACATGACTTTTTGTTTGCGTCGATTTTGACACCTACTGTGGATAAAGCGTCCCAATATCTCAATGCTTATCTCGTCCTGTGCATATGTTTGTTGGGATTTCTGGCAAAAATCTCCTCCTCCCTTTTTTTTTAAACAAACATAGACACTGTTTGGCTTGGTCCTTGTCTGACATCAATCAATCGATCATTATTTCTATAGCGCCAAATCATAACAAAAGCAATCTTGAGATGCTTTACAAAAAGCAGGTAAAAGATCTTACTCATTGCTATACAAGAAAAATGGGATAGGGTGCAGGAAGGATTTCTTCTTTTGTATTCCTCGTGTTCCTGTTGTCCAGGCTTCCTTGGCGCTGAGGTGGAGGTCGGAGCAGGCCGTGCATAACATACACCATGAATCAGCGTTTACAGGCATGAAAAATAACAATGCAGAAAATAATCTCACTTGTCCCGGATGTTTTTTGTTTTTTTTTGGCTTTCATACGTCATGGATCTTCAGTCTTAATTTCAGTCATTCTCATAACTATCTATAAACTCCCCACATGAACTTTATGTTAAAAAAAAATATATATCCTTGAAATGTAACATTTTAAACATAATTTTCATTCAAAAGCACAAAAATAAATAAGTGATGGTAAAGTTAAACCTGAGCTTAACCTTTGGTGTCTGGGATTTCTTCACAGGCTGGGCTGACGGTTCGTCTCTCCACCACTCAGACGGTCGGTCCAGTCGTCTCTCTCTGGAGAAAACCTTCGGCCGGCTGGTCAAAGACTCCCAGTGCCACCACATGTTGAAGCACCTTCACAATGGAGCCAGAATCACAGTGCAGATGCCTCCAAACGTGGAGGGTCACTGGGTGTCAACCAGGTAAGACCAATATGGACTTCTATGACCGATTTCTGTTCATCTTCTTTATTATCAAAAGGCAATGCAAACCTGCAGTGCATCTATCTTAATGTGTTAAAACAAGAACATTATTAGAGGACATAAAGAATAGAGTAGCGTTTAAATCTCTTATTTGTAGGTACCTTAAGAGGTTACTGCTGTTCTTCAATGTGCCTGCTAATCAGCTCCAAGTTGCATAGGCATAGCAACAACTTCTCATACACATAATGGTAATCCCTGTGTAATCATAAAACAAAATAAATAGTTTTCTGTTAGTGGGCCTGCTCAGATTTTTATTAAGTATTTTGTTAAGTGTCCTCTGTACATCATGGTCATCTGTCACACATCTGTACTCCCCATCTGAGTCACTTAATCCCTCACAAGAAATAACTTTGTATAAAATCCATAAATGTTGATTTTCAGATTTTCTTTGAATGCCACACTCCTCAAGACTCCTCAGTCAATCCTCTGCTGACATCAGCACTTAACATCAACACAAACATGGCTGACCTTTGAGCTTTAAGAAGTGGATTAAAAGTTAAAAGAAATTAAACAGAGATTTGAAATGTCTGCAAATGAATGTTTCTACTATACTGCATCAAATCAAACAAATAGCTGCCTGGAATGATGACACAAATATGAAGAGGTTAATCCTGTACTTCTCTTTAAGGCTATTTAAAGTCTCCAAATTCCATCTGTGGCCACCTCAAGTCAGAAGGCTTAAGCAGGTTTAAATGAAAAGCCTGAGTTCACTCCCTTCATAAAGCAAGTGTTCCCTGCACGAAAGGCATGCACATGTTGTGTAAAAGAGTTCACTTGTGATCAGAGTCAGAAGGCCCTTGATACTGAAACATACAGCTGGCAATGCATAAGAAGAAATAATAAAGGCTTGTTCATCTCTGGACCAGAATCAAAACCTTTTCTGCAGGAGACGTAGGATACTAGCTCTTACTTTGATCCTTATTTGTCTTCTGCTGCAGATGTGAGGTGAGACCTGGCCCGGAGTTCTTGACACGCTCCTACAGTTTTTTCCCCAACAACACCTTCCAGGCTCACCAGTTCTACTACGAGGACAACCACTGCACCAGACCCACCTACACGCTGGTGATCCGGGGTCGCCTACGCCTACGTCAGGCCTCCTGGATCATCCGAGGCGGCACGGAGGCCGAGTACCACCTCCACCGCGTCCAGATGATTTGTCACACAGCCACAGTGGCCAAAGAGCTCAGCCAGAGACTGAACCGCAGCTGCAGAGGGGCCGCGAAGGGCCCCTGGGAGCCCAGTGTGATCCACGAGCTGTGGAGCGAGGAGGGCGGGTACGACTGCTCCCGGGAGCTGAACTTTGCCATGCACGAGCTGCAGCTGCTGAGGGTGGAGAAGCAGTACCTGCATCACAACCTGGATCACCTGGTGGAGGAGCTGTTTCTGGGAGATATCCACACCGAGCCGTCCCAGAGGCTTTACTACAAGCCGTCCAGCTATCAGACCGCCCTGCAAAACGCCAAGGTAAGTCCCGGATGATCCGTTTACAATTAGAGGGATGATGGAGAAATGTGGCAGTAAAGTCTAAGAGCTGCCGTAAATCTGTAGATTACAAGTTCCCCTCCCAGGATCAAATTAGGACTTCAAGAGGGCAAAACTTGATTGGCATGGCATCAAGAAAAAAAGTTAGTTCTTCTCAGCCAATGAATTACAATGACTTTGTTGATGTTGCCACATTTTCTCTAGTGACAACTTGTGGTTTAACCCACTAAACATGATTAACATCAAACCTGCTTTATAACGCTATGCTAGCATTGTCATCGTGGACATGCTAACAGCTGCCTTAAGCTACAAGCACAGCTTTGCCACGTTGAAGTATCTTTGTCTGTCTTATGTTAAGTGTTCAGGCACCATAAAATATACATCTGAAAACACTGAGTTAAATCAGTGTTGGTTAAAGGAATGAGAAAATGTATGAAAAGGAGGATTTGATATCTGTGGCTTTTGTCTGTTGGAAAACTACTGGACTTATTTTTGTGAAACTTGTCGGAAGGTGAAAGGTCACCACTTGCATATCATAAACACTAGACTGTTAGCCTTGATTGATTTTGATTTAATGATGGTTTCTCTTTACCAAAAAACTCTTGTCCTAGAACTGCTGCTCCTGTCACACTTCACTTCAAACGGGCTGCAGACAGACTTACCTGTGGGAGACACAATATTATAAGAAAAAATCCTCACAATTGGGAAAAGTGTTGGAATGCTCGACCGAGAGCGAGGTCAAGTTTTTTTTTTTGCCCACTCTGCAGGACCTCTGCTGAACTGTCCTACCAATATGACGACCCGGCCAAAGACCACACACCTAAAACAGCACGAGCTGACTGTAAGAACAGTGTTATTGTATCAGAGCGTACCTTTAGCAAAGCCCATGCACAGCTGTGAGGACACGTGTGTTAAAGAGCATTCTAATGAAAATCTAATCTCTCAGTGAAGCTAGCAAGATCAGAAAATAACTGAATATTGAGTTTGCTTGGATGTCATGTTGGTGTAATTTTATTCTAAATAGTTTGGAGGCAGTAGAATCCACCTGTCCACAACAATGAATCTTCTTCTGTTGTATCTAAATCTGATGTGGGATCAGTATGGATGTCAACAGTCTTGCCATTTGTAACCTAAACATTTGCATTGGCAGAAAGCTGAAACTGTGTTTTGTACTGATTTCATCTTTTAAATCTAGTGTTAAGAAAAAGCCCTTTCATTGCCTTCCCTGTGCTTACAGATGTCATTTCTCTATTTACACTGCTGAGCAGCAGCTTCCCCGCAGAGTGAAACCCTAGAGTGATGTTTTCTCTGTCACCCTCCACAGAGATTACAATGAAATCCTGCTCTGGTCCACTGTTTAAATAAACATCCATGTGTGGGGGGGATGATGGGGCTCTGTGTTGCTGATCAGAAAGTAAACACAGAGAGGAGTGAGGAGCTGTGATCAGACATCTCCCCTGTGTCGTTGTAATGACCAGAGCTGCTCTCTTTAAGCCCCTCTGGCCCACAGAGCAGCAATGTGAAACCAGGCCTATCTCTGGAAGCGATCAACATGTGGTATTCCTAGAATTCGGATTCATGCGGCTGTATGAATTATTCTAGCCAGCGCATACCGGGTCTGATTTCACGCATGCCTGAGGCTAAAATCAAAGTGTTGCATGTGCTGGCCGAGTATTGTTGTGAATAAAAGTTAAAGCAGAGGGGGGTTAGTTGAGCTTTGAATTTCCACAGTTACAGCGAGGAGTCAAAGTTGATAACAGCATTGCACCAGAATCATGCGTACACATATCTTCTCATATCCCTGTAGCAGCATCAAGACATGCAGAGACACCTTTCAAGTAAAAAATAATGAAGGTGAATCTAGTGTGTTATTTTGCATTTCCACCTTCAATTAGATATTTTAACAGAGAAAGTGTCCCCAACAACCTAAGCAAACACATATATTTATACTCCCCTCCAGCTCCCTACATACAGTACAGCCTATAGTTATGCCGTCTCCATGACGTCATCCATAGTTTTATCACTTTTCTTCTAACTGTAAATTTTCAGTTCAAAAGTAGTCCCAAAACTACCAGTCCTTCATCCGCTATGTTTCTTTACTTTAAAGATTTGACCAGATTTCCAGTTCTTAGAGCAGGGACTCTGGTTGTATGGTAAATGGAACTTTTAGTGACAAGTGTGCTGAGACGGTCATATCGCTGCTCCACACACTAAAGGAGCAAAATCAAAAAGACTCATCTGTCGTTATCATGTGCGGGGTCTCTCACATTTTAAACATCTGTTAAGATTTTAGAAAACTTTTATTTGAGGGCCGGGCTTTAGATCCACTGACCCTTAGTGATCTTCTTCTGCTTTGAGATGTGTTAGCATACCAGGCAAAACAATAATGTTAGTGTCGCTGCGCCTACTGTATTATGTGGAACCGTTTTCAAATGATGGCTTAGTTGCCTTCTCCTGTATCACACCGTCTTTTTAAAGAGCTAGTGTCGCTACTGCTTTTAAATGTAACTTTTTAACGAGGGCATGGGTTTGCAAGAATTAGTTTGAAAAAATAATACATTCAACACAGTTAGTAGTTAATTACTAATACATTCTATCTTTCATTGTATTGCTGCAGGGCTCCCCAGGAAAACAGACCTCAGTAGATTTAAGGCCCAGTTGGTCACCAGCTTTTTTTAAACAGTGGTAGAAAATACTTCACTCCTTCCTACACCAAAAGCGCCAGCTCCTGAGGTTGTAATGCTTTCTTTTAAAAGTTTTTTTATATTACCAGGGTGACTTATCCAATCCATTAATCTTAAGCGTTTTACCCAGAGCTGGTCCCAGTCCACAATACTTACTGGTGCCAGCATGTTCATTTGTGGTTATTGGGTGGATCTTAGTGGTGATGCAAGAGCAAAGTAGCACACTCTTTTTTTAGAGTTTGTTTCTTCTGTTTTCCCCATTTTTCTGTCGCCTGGTTGCTTTGCCTTGATAATGAACCTTGTGAAGCAGTGATCTGTTTTTTTTATATTGTTGTCGTTGGTAACCTGTTTCTGTGGTTTTATGGTTTTGACATGTATCCCTCATGCTGAGACTCATTTGTAAGCTTGTGTGTTTTTCCCTCACTTCTTTTATTGAATTTGTCGTTCACTCCTTCTTTGTGAGGCTTAAATACCTTAAACTACGTCTCAAACTTAATTAAAAAAAAAAAGCTGCATAGCAAATGAAGACATGCTGGTGTAGCTTTTAGGATATAAACATAATCAAACGTTGTGAAGAGTCATTTATGACACCAATATGTCTCTAAAAAGGATCTTCACGGCCTGATACACTTTCTGTTCCTCGTAAAACATTTCTCGTGTGGAAATCGTCTTCCCTGAACCGTGGTGGTTTTTCCCAAAATGAAAATGTGGCGGCCAAGAAAAGTTCTGATGCTTCTTGATCCTCTGTGGTTTGGATTGTACCTTCTTTCTACGTCAGTTCGGATGAAAGAGTCTGCCAGATGTAGTTGTAAGAAAATAAAATGCATATATGTAAACTATTTGAAGCAAGGGCAGTAATCCTCCTCATGTCCTTCATTTCTTATTCCCCCAGTCAGGGTCTGTAAAATGCTTTGACAACACTTTACAGCAGCAAAAGTTAGCTCAGGTTTCATCCTGTTTGGAAACAGACACCTTCAGTATGAATGTATTTTGCTCTTTTTAGTTTCAGAACATTCTTTTTTTGATATACAAGATATTTTGGGGGCAATTGACTCCTTTTTATTAGATAGGACAGCTGATGAGAGACAGGAAATGTTGGGAGGAGAGTGGAATGACATGCAGCAAAGGGGCTGAGGTCGGATTTGAACCCATAGCCGCTGCGACAAGGACTATGGCCTCTGTACATAGGCCTGCTGCTTTGCTCTTTGTTTCTCACAGTTCAGCTCCAGTGGATTTTCTCTCCATCTATTAACTGGCCTTTAAACTGTGTGTGCGTGTGTGCGTGCGTGCGTGCGTGCGTGCGTGCGTGCGTGCGTGCGTGCGTGTGTGTTCAAGATGAGCCAAAACAGTCAAACTTTTACTTGAAAGTTGCAGCATGCCATTGTTTGTACAGATATTGGTTAGTGTAGAGCACCTCTAACATGGCTCCAGCACTCCGCTGTGGGGATTACTGCCTGATTACTAATTGGCATATTAAACTTTTACATGCTAAACTAAAGGGTGTGGTTTGGGCTGGGGATTTTCATACTAAAAGTCTAAAAGCTTTGTTATCATAGTTTCTGGTTGTTGCCGTCCAGAGGAGAGAAAACAGGTGGTGATAAAAATGTTGACATGCTCGTCTGAGTCACCTTCAGTTATTACGCTTCTCTGCAGAGCAGTGAGCTTCTTGAGCAACAGAGGGGGCTTTAAGACTCTCTTTTTCTCTTTAGTCCAGCTTCTGCCTGTCAGGCTGCGTACTCTGAGGTTTGTCTTTGCTATCTAATGCAATCCATCACAACAGAACAAATGTCTACCTCAATTTATGTCCATAATGTTCATTAATATTTATAAAAGTGCTAATTAATCACACATTAAAGCACTGAGGTCAAAGTGGGCAACTGAACTGCATCATGTTAATAATTGTAACACAACAACAACAACAACAACAACAAAGGCAAAGAACAACAGCAAACAACAAACATCTACAATTAAAACAAACAACATCAAACAGCTGTAACACACTTTGCAATACAAAACTTCAAAATACTTAAAAAACTACAATTTACAATCTGAACTACAACATCCATCAATAATATACAACAACATAAAACTACACTATCACACTAAAAAAAACTACAAAGTAAAACAACTACAACATAAATCAACTACTAAAGCAACTATTACGACACACAACAACATACAAATACATCATTCCATCCCACAACTATAACTAATATGACACAAGATCAATATGCAACGAGAACTACAACATTCAACAACAACTATAACAACATATGCTGATGTTTTATGTAGGGCTGGAAATCTCCGATTCGATTTTGATTCTTGGGGTCACGATTCGATTCACAATCTATTCCAGTCCTTTTTTTCTTTTCTTTTTTAAGATTTATTTTTGGGCTTTTTGTGCCTTTTAATGGAGAGATAGGACAGTGGCTAGAGCTGGAAATCAGAGAGAGAGAGTGTGGAATGACATGCGGGAATGGAACCACAGGCGGGACTCGAACCCGGGCCGCCCGCTTGGCAGACTATGTCCTCCATACATGGGGCGGGCGCATTAACCAATGCGCCACCAGCTCCCCAACTCCAGTCATATTTGTGACTGGCAAAAAATTTTGCTGCTCCATTTGTCATTCTACTGAGTTAAAAAGCTATCTTAGCACTTAGCACGGAGTGACTGATTAGCCCAAAAAAACAACACAAAAAACATTTTTTAGTTATGAATCGATCTAAAATCTAAATTTTTACATAAATCGATTTCCAACCTCTAGTATTATGGTAGACTGAAGAATGCACAAATCTGAAGTATTGGAGGATTATATTAATTAATTGCAGCTTGGTGTCAGTTTCACCTCTTAACACGCTTCATCCTTTAACTTCTTTTCTCCGTTGTCTGTCACATATGAACCTGCTGTCCTCTTTGTTTTTAATCCTGCTGTCGTCTTCTTCCTTGGCCAATTAACGTTACTGTCATGCATGTCAACAGCGCCACTGTGAGGAGTCATAAAGTAGTGATGCAGTGAGTCAAAAAGGAAATCTCAATCTCAATATATTGATATTTGGCACCAGAGATTAATAGTTGTATCACAAGTTAGGACAACGATATAGTGCTGCATCGGTATTTAGTCCCATCCCTGAAAATTAGTTCCCAACTGTGGACATGGGAGACATGTTCATGGTTGGAGAACTTTTTTTTTTTGGCTCAGTCAGGCTGTGTGTTTTATGGGCTCAAAGTTCCTGCAGATCTGGAACATGTTCTCCACACCTGTTACCTAAACTCTCCCACAGACTGCTCTCGTTCTTGTTCCCCCCTATATACATATGCTTAAATATATATGCATATTTATTTCTCTGCACACTGGTATTTATTGATTTTTCCCGACTGCACGTATGTATTCTCTCTCTCATGAGCACACATGGTGCTTTATGCTTTCATTCACACAGAGCTGATTCACAGGAGGGCCTCGCTCCAGTCGTCCCATTAACCTCTCACTCTGAGGCGGTTATGGAGCTGCTCTGGGATTATCTCATCTCTGACCATAGAGTGAAACAACCTTTTTTTTTTTTCTGGTCTCATAGCATTCTCCGCTCCTTTTCTTCTTTTAAACTCCCCATGAATCTCCCGAGGACAGAGTGGTGTCTGGGAAAACAAGGGATTGTTGAGATTTGACCACCATGGAATAACACAAACTCCAGAGCCTCCCTGGAGTTGTTGGACTTTTTGGAAGAGATGTTGTGCAGCACAGTATGAATACTTCATGCTTTTTCTCCTGCCAGAGACCCACATCTGTCCTGTCTGGATACTGTGATCACATCCTGTACATGATGAATGGTCATTTCTACAGATAATAACAAGAGTTTGTAGGTTTTATACAGTAGAATAAAAGGCATCCTGCAGTTGTTTGTAAGAAGCATGAAGGATCATCTTGCTGTCCGCTGTGTGACGTCCTGTTGTCACAGCTCTCGTTCCACCAGACATCTGTGTTTTACAGTGAAACGATGTGATCAGCCTGAGAAAATGCTGAAAACCTTGTCTGGCTTCCAGCACTGCAGAGCTTCAGAGCGAAGGAAATAGTTTTTCCTCCTTCATCCCACGTACAGACGCCAGGAGTCCTTTTTATTTGGATTTCATGACTCAATGCACTGATGATGGATTAAAAAAGCTTTCAGCACTGACAGGTTTTTATATGAGTGGGTTTTCAGACATTGATGGTCAGCTGGAACTTTAGCTCTGAGTTTGAGAAGAAGGAACAACTGAACATCGGATTTGATCACATGAAGTTTATTATTAATATGATTACTATTTTAGATTTTTGTCACATCACCTCTTAAAAACGTCCTCATACTTTCAACAAAATATAGCACCAAAGTCATAATATTTCATCGTATGTGGGGTTATTTATCACCAGATGAAATAAAAGCAGCATGGTTTTTCTTGAGTATTTATTTTTTTTGCATTATAAGGAAATTGCCTTGTGTTGTGCTGTGTATCCAAGACTTTTATCTTCCGTCTTATTTATGAAGAAAGTCATTAAAGATTTGTAAAGAAGACACTTCCTTAAATAACAACATTTTATCATCACACCTTTCTTTCCCAATGTTTCCTTTCAGAATCACGACCAAGGCTGCATCGCCTGCCGCATCATCTTCCGCTCGGACGAGTTCCACCCTCCCATCCTGCCTCCGCGGGCCGACCTGACCGTGGGGCTGTACGGTCAGTGGGTGAGCCAGCGCTGCGAGGTCCGCCCCGAGGTCCTCTTCCTCACCCGTCACTTCATCTTCCACGACAAGAACCACACCTGGGAGGGTCACTACTACCACTACTCCGACCCCATCTGCAAACACCCCACCTTCACCATCTACGCCCGCGGGCGCTACAGCCGAGGGCAGCACTCAACCCGAGTCATGGGAGGGACAGAGTTTGTCTTCAAAGGTGATTGGTTGATGATTTATCATGTTAACTAACTTTTCAGTTATTTAGAAGGGACTTTATCTCAAGTGTCTGTAAAACCAAATATTCGTCCTCATTTCTCTTCTTTTACCCTCATCCAAGAGAAGCAAATCTTGTTTGCTCTGTCCTCACTTAGACTTTCTATTTTACAGTTGTGTAAACTTTTTTGACATCTAGTGATTTGCCGATATCTTTGATTTACAACTTTCATGCATCTATTTAAGACATATTAAAATGCAAATGCATTGGTAAGATCAAAAAATGTATAATATTGTATGTACTTCTGACAAATATTTAGTGAGAATATATAAATTAACATTTTTTTTTCTGGTTCTCATGGCAACCCTTGTCCCTATTACAGTGTAAGGGTTAGCACAGGAGCAAATATTTCTATACAATTTAGTTGTTATAAAACAACAACCTTGTTAAACATTTGCCCTACAATCTTTAATATAATTAAGTTAAAATTAAATATTTTTGACCCTCTAGTGCAGGGGTGGGCAACTGGCGGCCCGGGGACCACATGCGTCCCCCATCAACCCTCAATGTGGCCGTCGGGTCAATTTTTACATATCAATTAATTGGAAACCAGAAATATGTCCCTAATAATATTTGATCACTGGTATATGTTGAGTTAAATTTGAGACATAATTGACTGTAATAGAATTTGGCCCTCTGGCAGTCAGAATTAAATGAATGTGGCCCTTGCTGTGACCAAAGTTGCCCATCCCTGCTCTAGTGTTTCTGTTGGCTCGTTTGTACTTCAATGATAGTCTGAGTTTTTTTTTTTCTTGGCCTTATTTCAGTGTTTTTCCCAGATCTCTGTGAGGGGTCCGATATGTCAGATTATCGTAACTATATAAAAAAAAGAAAGATCCAGTTTGTAAAGTGACATCACTACACAGTGGGTCAAAGACAGGATGTTTCTGGCATTACTCTTTTAACCCTTAAAGAAACTACTGAAACTCACAGGTCTTTTTTCACTTTCCTCCTCCAGTGAATCACATGAGAGTAACCCCCATGGACTTGGCCACCACCTCCCTCCTCAACGTCTTCAACGGTAACGAGTGCGGGGTTCAGGGCTCGTGGCAGGTCGGGGTGGAGCAGGACGTCACGGTGACAAACGGCTGCGTTGCTCTGGGCATCCGTCTCCCGCACACAGAGTACGAGCTTTTCCGCATGGAGCAGGACTCGCACGGACGCTACCTGCTCTACAACGGCCAGCGTCCCAGTGACGGCTCCAGCCCCAACCGGCCGGAAAGGCGGGCCACCTCGTACCAGATGCCGCTGGTACAATGCTCGGCAAACAGCCATATGTCTGACTTCAGTAGAACCGATGGCAGCGACATGCCTCTGCTTCAACACAATGACTGCTCAGGGAGGCATCGAGGCAGCCACAAACACGCCATGGTGGCCATCACCGTTATTGTCATGTGTTTGCTGCTCTGCTGGCATTGCTAGACGGAAGTTTTTTTTGATCTTCTTAGATAAAGACAAGTGTTTGGATTGTAAAACTAACTGGTGAAAACGGCAAACATGAACTTTGAACTTCTCAGATGTGAAGGAGGACTAAAACTTGGTGCTTTTGATCCTCTGAAGATTTCTCCAAACTACCAAAGACTTGACACTGCTGCACCACAGAAACTGCACTTTAGAGTGGAACCAAAGACCGACTTGTCTGCGTTTCCACAAACACACAAAGATGTCAATATACAAGACAGACTTGAGAGTATGTTTTCTACAGCGTATTTACCTACAACTATCAAGTCATTTTATTGGTACAGCAACAAGACAATGAACTCTTAAGAAGCTCCCTGTTGGTGAAGAGGTTCTCGTGGATAGTCACCGTTTACAGTAAAGGGAACGACAACACTTCGATTAAACTGTTGATTTTAGATGGTTGCTGTAAAGGATGGACACATTTCTTCCACACGTATAGACTGTTCACACTACTTCATCTGCAGGTTAACTTCCATAATAGAGACGTTTTATTTCCCACTCATCATAAAGCTGTCTCGACATGGACTAACTGGTTCCAATTGAGCCCATTTTGAAATAACCACATGCTCCGATTTGAAATCTGCACCTGGAATATTGGAAAAATATTCTTGCCTGGGAAACTGTTTACATATTAAAAATAAATGCTCCACTCATACGTGTGTTTACATGCAGCCATGCATTGTCTGATTATTACGCCAGCTGTACAAACTGCTGGCTGGTTGTTTTGTTTACAACATTTTGAGCTGACCACAAAAAATTCAAGAGGCTGCGTTTCGATAAATGCAGTTAAAACATTTTTGTTTTTTTTCAGACAGTTCAGCCGCGAAACATCACACCATCATCTCATCTCTGTTATCTCTTCCTGTCTGTTTGAAATCATTGATGGTGTAGAGTTTTGTTCCCAGATTAAAGAACATGAATAAATATCCAGGAGATGTCTTTGTGACTGGATACATGTCTAAGATTAATCATGTATTAAATCAAAGAGAGGTGAATAAATGTTTAAAGCAACAAAGTGTGACAGGAAACAGTTTAGGGGGTTATATTGTTCATTACTGGTACAAAACTAAGCATATGACCTTCTACATCACCTCCACGTTTTCTACAGCTCTGGATCATCTACCTTAATCAACTACCCATTTAACTGTTAGCAGGTTCTGAATGTGAAACGTTCACACTGCAAAGAACCAAATGAAACCAGTAAGCAGTCCAGTAAGTGTTTCTGTAAGTGTTCTGATCAGATGTGGCTGCAGGACGTTGGGATTGAACCCCTGACCTTCCGGTTGAGAGACGACCGGCTTGACCAACTGAGCCACAGCCTCCCCAATGGTTCCAACTAGATCTGATTAGTAATGGATTTAAAAGGTCAAAATGAAAGAGTAAATATTGTTGGTTTTATAGAATATTACTTTTCCATCCATCCATTATCTATACTGTTCGGGGACTGCAGAGTGCTGAAGCAGCTTTCAACTTTCAGTGGGAGAGAAGCGGGGAAAAAAATCTTAAAAAATGATTATTAAAGTTAAGTATGCTGAGAGCTAAAGACAATGTATTGTTGTATAACAGTTGCTAATTTATTTCATATTCTGTTCTCCAGTTTCTAATAACCATGCATCACACGGTATGTGCTGACACTACAGTTTGTCTGCTGTAAGTGATCATTATACACCATTTCAACCCTTTTTTTCTTAAGATCCAGTATTTGACCTTTTAATCACTGATGCCTCATGTTTATATCCGTTGAAAAATGAGTCAATATTCATACTTAAATAAAGTTAACATTGAGCTTGTGTTACTCTGTCGCCGTACAGTCGCAGTAAAACATGTTACGTGTTATTCCACTTCTCTCTCTCGGCTGCCAAACAGAAAATAAATGTCCAGTGGTCTTTTCCCACGCTACTCCGTCCTGGAGGAGTCACATTGAATCATATTACTCTGGAGTTAATGAAAAGATTGCAGGTTTCACTTTGGGGGGGAAAATAAGCATCTTGTAAAGACGGTGCTGCGTTTTAGACGTCATACTGAAATGAGCGAAGTTTGGGGCCAAATGACTACAGACGATTGTGCCTTACAGAATGCCCAATGTACTGAAAATGTGCAGCATTACCTCAGCAGAGCAACATCAAATATACAGAGTAACAAGCACCATTTCTCACTGTATGAAACTATAAACAGTGAAAAATGAAAACGCTGTGCTTCCTTAGATCCAAACATCTGTAATGATTGATCAAGTTAATAAATCATCTAAGAAAACAAATGAACGCTGACTTTTTTCCAAATACTGAGCGGACGTCTCAGGCTGACCAACATACTCAAGTTTTGTTTTTTTTCCAGTCCTGGCAGTTTGCAACTGAAAGCCAAACAATAATAAACGAATTGTAAGGGAAATTAAAACATGCGGTCGGCTCTCTTTGTACTTTGTCCTTGCAGAAATAAGAAAAAAAAAAAAAAAAAAGGATCTAATATTTAACGCTGGCAGTATTACTGACAGAAACCTTGGCTTACAAAGAGAGCTGCCTTATTTCATGGCATACATAATGAATGTTTGAGGGTGTATCATGAATGGGAGAGACAGGAAAAGACGGCTATCCAAACCACATTTTTTCATTTTTATTTTTCAATGCTTAATACCATGGGACAGGATTTTGAGAATGAGACCTTATTTCAGTCAATATTTGCCTCAAGGGATATATGATTTGTATAATAATTATTATAATAATAAAAATAATAATAATAAAAAATAATAAAGTCTGTATCGGTGTTGTGAGAGGAAAAGGAAAAAAAAGGACAGAAATGTACAAGAAGGAGGCACCTATAATCCCCAGCTGGACCTGAACATCCCAAAACGAGAAGAAGAAATTACAAACTGAACAAATTTAATTCGGAGGCAATCCAGCAACAGGTAGCAAGGTTGTTATGATGGAAGTTCTGTCCTTTCTGTGTTTAAAAGGATTTAAAACAACATTTACAAGACACCTAACATTCCATTCAATTCCTATTAAAAACAACAGAGAGCGAGAGAGAGAGAGAGAGAAAACCTAATCTTCATGACCGCCTCTTGCCCATGGTTCACTCATGGTGCAACCTCCGTTTTGAGTGATAGTATACAACTTTCATTGTCCCGGCGTATAATCTGTATAATCCAGCCATTAAAAAGAACAGAACACAAAACAACAACAAAAGAAAAGAAAAGGGGAGCAATCACTTGTGTGTCGCCTTTCTTTTCTCAACCCTCTGTGTGTACTAACTGTGTGAGACTGTAAAAAGGCGACGCCTTCGAATGATGCTGTACAGATGTGTTCACTGTAGGCCACACTACCAATGATATGGCAAAGTCAACAGAAAGACTTCTCGGTTTTTCCAGGCCTGTTTTTATTCCGGAGTCGAAGGGGAAGGGAGCAAGAGGGGGGGAGGAAGGGCGGGAGGGGGGGGGGGGGGACGGGGACACGGGGACACGGCTGGCATGCATCTCCCAGTCTACAAGATGAACTTCCCTAGGAAGAATCCGATGAAGATGGCTGCTATGACGACGAGGAGGGAGGGCAGGGAGGCGGTGCTGGATTCTCTGCCGAGGAGGCTGGTTGAGTTTGATGTCATGTGGTCTGAGCGGGGTACCTTTCTCATTCGAATGCCTTCATCCTGTGACAGAGGAGGAGGAGGAGCAGACATAATTCATCTCATCTAGTCTTTAAAACCATCCACAAATACTCCCCTTCATTTGAATAAAAAAATAAATTCCTCTGTTGTCATCAGATATAAATTCTAGCAGCAGCATCTTCATTTAATAGCAGCAAACATTATTTGCCTACAAGCTTCTGTAATGTTTAGCTCATCTAAAATGTGATTTAAACAGGTACTGGTTTTGTCTGGGTAAAAATGTACCGATCACTGATATAGTGGATATAGTTCCATTTTGAGGAAAGATGAAAGCAGGTTTTTTTTTTTTTTTTTTTTAATGATGGACTGATGTGCAATGATATGACTGCAAAGACACTGGACATCAATGCTTTCTCAAACAAATACCTACATAAGAGATTATCAATATTAACTGTCATTAACTAGTGTGAAACACTTCCGGCTAAACTGTGAAGATCATCTACATGAGGCTGCAAACGGTGCTCAAAATGTAGTAATCTACAGAGCTTAAGTGGGCTCGTGTCTCAACTAAAGCAATGAATCAATGTTTCAGATGCACAACGGCTGTTTTCTGCATCAAGTATTTTATAAAAGCTTTGTTAAAAAAAAACCAAAAAAAAAACACAAGTGGACTTACCTCATCATCTGGTGGAAAAAGGCACACAACTATAAGCTCAAATCAATCAGCTGTTCTTTGATACAAAGAGCTTCTTTGGCCTTAGCACTGATGAGATGTATTAAATAGGATGCTTTAAGAGCAAAAGTGTCCCTTTGAACTCGTGATGGATGTTTGAGCAAGAAATGAACAAGTCTACATGTATTATCTGTCAAATTTAAATTTTGGGGGCCTTCTAATAGTACCAACATTTTTTTTACTGTGGGCATTGAGATTTATGATCTCACTTTTTATTTAAAAAAAAAAAAAAAGCACTGCAAGACTTTGGGTTCTTTGTAAGCAAGTGTTGAAGTAACTCAACATATCTCCACAAAATTATGCCACAGTAACATTTGTTGTTTGAGTCCTTCGACAAAATCACATGAAATATCATTTCCTTTGTTTTAAATATTTGACCCAATTTTGATTTGGCCTTGAAAAAGCTTGGTGTTTGTCAGGCTGAATCTCAGCGAGAGCGTAGAAACACTTTCTTATTTATTTTCCTTTGAGGTGGTTCAAACAATGGTTTAACATTTACTTTTAGTTTTTAACCTCTATAAATGCATTTCAGGCACAAGGGAACCACATTGTGTCATCATGTCCTGGATATAACTGATCAACACCTCTAACCTTTAATTGCCGGTTCTCCTCAGCCAGCTTATTCATCTCAGCTTGAAGCCTCTTGCACTTCTCCAGAACTTTCTTCATCTCCGACTCGTCCAATGAGGCAGTGACAGGCACAGAGGCTGATGATGGGTCGGCCTTCGCAGAGTTCATCACCGGGGCTGCTTTGGTCGCCTCCACGTCATTCTGAGCAGAGGGAGAGAACCACTAAAGTGAGATCCAGCATGCTCTGAGTCGAGTATGGAGGTTAGCCTCTAGACGGGAGACTGAGCCAAAGAAAGGCAGCCTTGTCCGAGGCCCAGACACTCACAACATCAGATCAAAGAGACCAGGGAGGAAATGCATCCCTCCACAAGTCCTGTTAGATGTGGCTTTGTTTTATGGGACAGATTGCATGACATCATGGGGGCTTTGTAATGATAAAACAATGACTGAATTTAAGGCCTGACAATAAATACAAAGACAAAGGTGATGCAATTAACCCTTACAGAACAATCCAGGTCAGGCATGTATTTAGAAACCTATCAAAACCCGACTAGTTTTTAAATCAAATGATACAAAGTAACATAAAAGCAGAGATCAGAAGTTTCCTCATACGTTTATATGCCAACTCGTTTTCTAGTAGTTTAAACTGAAATTTAAATTCCCTTTAACCAAGTAGTATAATGATAAGAAAACAGTCAGAATTGAGCGAAATTTATTTAAAAATGTCAGCGGGTATTGGGTAAATGATGTCATTTGGTTTGCCCAGTGTGGCTAAAGTTAGCAGCGCTAGCACTGCCAGCCTGCGGTCCTCCCTGCAGGAAACATCCACATGTCCGAGCTAAATGTGATTACGTATTGCCTTGGTCGAAATGCCAATTTAAGCTGACGCAGCCTGAATACGACTTTATCTCCATTTTCTAGAACAAAATACTGGCAGGCCCATTAACCGGAGCTACAGGCAGTCTATGGTCACAGTGACGGATGGTTGCATTGTAGTTTGAGCATAACTTTTTACCAGCATCGAAGGCCAAAATATGAATCATTAGTTTAACAGTCTAGTAATTATGTTGCCAACTAGCGAGGGAGATGATGTTTAACCATGTAGTGAAAAGCACACGTCCCGAGTTTGAAAAAACCTTCCAAGAAGCAGACAACATTATAAAGTCAATAAAAATGTTTATTAGATCTTTTAGTTCACATCTTTGAGGCGTTCCTACAATTCTGTTTTTTTATATTTGAGGTATCTAGTCAGAGTAATTAAACATCAAAAGCATACATTTAAATGTACACTAAATGTTTTTAAGTTTCTGTACATCAAGGTAGAAGAAGCTAAACAGAATTATGATTCTTACCAGATTTGATGTCGTTTCAGTTTCGCGTGTAGAAGACCTTTTCAGTAACTAGCACGGTTAGCGTTAGCCACACTCCGCAAATTAAAATCAATAAAACTGTTTCCTGGCAGATCATTTACAGTAAGTTGTGTTCCACTTTGACTGAGTGTTTTCTTACCTTTAAATTCATCAGTTAGTCTGGATTTAAATGTCTGTTTGACCTACTAGGAAATGAGTGGCCTGGGAACATACCTAATCTACCAGCTTTAAGAACTTGCCAGTTCTTAATAGCTGACATTAAACATTGATGTACTGTAGCTCAGGAGGACAAGAACGTCTTCTACTGCTCCATGCTGAATTTAAGACATTGGGCGAGATACTGAGCACTATCCTTCTCCTGATTGCAGTCACACAGTGTGTGAATGAGTATGAATGTTTGGGGTGATTGTGCATGTCATTGGAAGATCTTTGAGTGGTTACAAAACTCGGGAAGTCACTCTAAATATGTGGTCCATTTACTAAAAAAGGCATTGAAGCACTCGGCTCTTTATACACACTTCAAAAAATGCTGATCCTAAATCCTATGTGCGTTCCAGTGTTATAAGATTACAACCAACACTATATATCCATCATACAGAGTGGCATCCCGCACATGTTGCACATAACATACATGATAGACATGCTTAGGTAGAGAGAAGATACTGTGCTGACTCAGCGGTCTACATATCCACACTGTAGCTTCTTAGCATCAAGTTAAATCTGGAAAGCTTTGTGGGGTTTTTGTCTCATCTGTGAGGGCCTGCAGAAGAATCCAGTAGCACTGCTTATCTAAATCCTGTTTACACTGAGGGATCATTATTACAGGCTCCCAGTGTGCAGAGGCATCCTTTTATAGATGATCAAGTAATGTCATCCATAACAATAGCTGTAATAAATCTCTGTTTTGTATACAGCTTATAGAGAACGGGGAAACTGCGGTTTTGATTCAGCTTGTTCATCATTCTGATGCTGAGTGGGGAATGAAAAAACAGAAGCAACACTTTTCATTTTTACAATACAACACTTGTAGGTTAATACACGAGTGTTGAAATGATGCAGCTTTTTATACAACGGACTGCCGTACACCGATGTTTTAGAAGCACCTTCTACATGAAAAGAGAGTTCAGGTTTATCTGTTTGCTAAAATTTCAATAACAATAAAACATGCAATGTGTAACTAGAGCGGAAAATTCAGTTGTGATAAATTATTATTGAGATGTATGGTGATTTGTTGTCGTCTGTAAATTCACAGTTACAGTCACAGCTAGTCGAAGAGTAGAAATGGGTTTTTTTGCTTTTGTTTTGGTGATCTAATCCAAAACGGAAGGATGTTTTTACGTTGTACCAGTGTCCCTTACCATTTTATCGTTTTCAGAAGGCAGTTCAAAGACACATCTCAGCTTGGAATCCATGAGATCATCGGGTTTTGCATCTTTCCACTGGTGGAGATGACGAAAAAAAGGGGGGGAAAGTTATTCATAAAGTCAAACTGCTAGCAGCTGGATTCTATCCACACACAACCTACTTCATACTTTTCATATGCAATGCATCCTTTAATATAAAGACATGACATCAACATAAAACATGCACAGCTTCATTTAAAAGCAGTTACACACCCAGTCTAATTTTAAGACACAAAACCGCCCCAGACTTTTCACAGGAATATAGATTTTGCATGATTTTTGGGGTCTGTAACGGTGTCTCCAACCTTTTGGAAATGTGTTTATCTGAAAGTTGCTAAGTATTTTTGTAGGTTTACACACTCAATTACAAACAGGTGCTGGTTTTTAAAAAAGCTAATTAAGCACAGGTTCCTTTTCATAACTCAATAATGCCATGGAGCCTGGTAAAAATAACAACTTGATGGATTTAAGTTCCCCTACACTTCCTGGATTTAGCTTCTGAATCAGGAGCAGCCAGTTCATCAACACAGAAAACTGGTATGGCCATGTTTGACTGACTGGAGAAATAAGCTTTTGCTGCCCCCTAGTGGACAACTGGGAAATTAATTTGTTGTTTTTGGACAAGCCAATTATGACAACATCACAGAGCTTTACAAAACAGGTAAAGAACAAAAGTGTATGAAGATAAAGATAAAGACAACACACATCAAAGTCCAGTAAACATCTGGATTTTATAAATAGCATGTCCAGTATGAAAAATGCAAATCATTCATTAGTTGCCTTTTTATACTTTTACATTAGATGAGTCAAGCTTATGATCAAAAGCTTTTGTTCTATCCACCTTTTTCTCCATTTTACCTCTGTCGAGATACCAGGAGATGTTAAAGTCAGGATAGATATCGTTTAGCTTTTTTTCTTAAACAATCTTCTAAAAATAATTCTGATTGAAATGAACGAGTCCTCGGTTGAGATCACTATCAACACTGTGACTGGATGGGTTGTTTATTTTGTGGAGGCCGGCTGAGTAATGTAGCAAACACTGTGGGGACCCACACAGATGATTCAAAGGAAACAGATTTCTAACACAACAAAATGTATGATTTTATTTTACACAGCTATGGAAGCAAACATTTGCTTCAAGCTTGAATTTAAAAGAATCCTTTTTTCTAACTGTGTGAATATCAAACACTGAAACTTCATGGGCCACAACAACCAATAAGGTGTATTCATAACTTCTGCACTTTTCTTGCCAAACAGTTTGGACATTTTAATCGTTGTTTACTCTCAACTTATTGTTAGCAAATCGTTTCTTAAGCCCGGCGTACACTGTACGCTTTAGACCTGATCATTCTGAAGTCGAGCTGAATATCAGCCCGATCGCCTGGCGTGAGTAGTGCAGTATTCACTGAGGCCGATCACCGATTAAACAGTTGCTGCCGATCAGTCGGAGGAATTTCTGACATGTTTGGCAGTGGCAGAGTGTGAGCAGAGCAGGTATGTGTAACTATTCAATGTCAATAACAATTTATACCACAATACAGTGAAAGTTGGTGTTGGATATACAATGGTTTAAATACCTCTACCATCATATGATTTAATTAATGTGCTGTTTTATATCTTATTCCCACTGACCTCACAAAAAACAACACTGGATTTAAAAAAAAGAGACTCAAACAACAAAACTAAACGTTCTGTGAAGGCTTCAGAGACTGATCATCTAAAGTCTTAGTTCTGACGGGTAACATTTGACAATCAATACAAGGCTGACTTCAGGCTGTGAAACTTGTATTACACAGTATTCCAAAACTTTCATTCAAAAAGTTGCAGAATATTTAAAATAGTGTGAAAAATGAGCACATACTCCTCTATGACATTCTGTATTTAATGCCCTGCTCTGTGTCTACTCCAGTCACTGTCTGTTGCAGCGCAGCAGGACAAACATTCAGACCTGATACAGAGCCAGACCATAGGCTGCTTCAAAAGGGTTAGGATGAAACATTACTGTAAATTATCTTTTAACACAAATCGACCAAGCCTTCAAAACAATGTCTTTACAAGAAAAGAAAGTTCAAGAAAAACTCACCAATGAATCCATATCAGAAACATTTGGAGGGGCAAAAATGGTCTGCACCATGAATTTGTGTTTACTTTTCTCGTTGGGGTCGTAGTCAAACGGCTGTAGCATGACTGTAGGCAAAAGATGAACCATGTTAGACAACTTGAGCACGGAATATAAAATCACAAACACACAAAATATCAAACATAACAAATCACAAATATCTTCCTGGTGATAACACACACACATTCCCTGAATTTAAAGCCCCTTATTTTATTTTAATTCACATCTGATCTATGTCGTGTTGTTTCCATGGGTTACTTTGCCGTCTCCAAACTTATTGATAGAAAATCTATTTAATTTCTCCAAATGTAAAGCAGTGATAACATATTACTCAACGTTACTTATTATAACTTTTACTGTACAATGTAAAAAAATTAAAAAATTTAACTAACAGCTCTTTTTATTCACAACTATAAAATGATGAAACAGCTGCGGTATATTAAACTATATTCAGTAAATGATGAGTATTAAAAACACACTGAACACTGAGAAGTGGCTCAGTTCACTGGTTTGTGTTCGAGTACTTTGAATGATAACTGTGTAACTGAATTGATTTAAGCTGTCGACAGAGCTGGAAGGAACTTTGTGTTTTATGGTCCACATTTTAAAACATGCAACTCAAAGTTTATTTGATAGCCTCAGACGGCGCCGAGGACAATTTGAGCAAGACAAATGTCCTTAACAAGACTCCATGATGAATAAAGCAACCAAGAAGCAGCAGCCATGTTGAGTCCAAGTGCTCCCTTAACGACAGATAAAAAAAAAAGTGTTTCACCAGGTCGCTCTCATTAATACCCCTTTGCTCATGCTACAGTTCAAAAGCAACATTTACACTCTACGAAAAACACAGATTTTAGAGGACATACATTGATACGACATGACATTTTTGTGCCAACTTCGCTCTAAAAGTGGCTCCAGCATTTGAGTCCTCTGACAAACAGAGCTCACACTGTGCAGTTCTCTAATATTTAGTTTTGGCAGGTTGTCTCCCACATTGACACTAGTTAGTTTATGAGCAGCCAATCAGCTGAATCAATGGTTTGAGTTTTCAAATCAAGGTATGCACATGACTTCAATGACCTTCAATAATACAAACAAAGAACACCGTGGGTGCGTTCGAATTGTCATTTTTGCTTAGGAAGGTTCCTAACTGAGTGAAATAACCCGGAAGCATTTAAGTGGCGGCCATGATAAGTTCGAATTCTCTAAAAGTTAAGGAAAGGTGGGTCAATGCTTCCTTTATAACCTCCTTCAGCATAGGATACACTGAACCATCCTTTACGAAAGGAGATGAGATATGCCGCCCCACAATTCCTTGCGGCTGCAACATTTAAAGCGACTCGCGCATCCGACCGTTCACGAACATTAACGATGATCGTAAAGTGACACAGATCATGTGAGGGATAAAAAGATAAGAGACATTTTTATCAGATCATGTTTTATTAAAGATATTTCATTCACTTAAGAATGCTTTGTGCAGTTGTACATTTGTATACAACATTATGTGTATGAATTTAACAATTAATTTCATACAATCATACTTATTTTGATGTTGATTTCTGAGTGGACAGGAAGCTGAAGGTTTCACTTTTCTTACTTGTAGCCTGGTAGTCTATATTGCTTTTATTTCAATCCCAACCTTGTGGTAATCAGGATTATTTCACTGGCACAGGGGAAAGTTTTTTAGATGATCTTTTTGTAGTCCATTTTCGGAACATTGTAGTTTCACGTCATTAACCTCCGCCGGCCCGTCGCATTTAATGACGTGGCCTAGTGGAAATGTGGTCGGATTGTCAGAGCAACGAGATCGCCTTTCCCTAATTTCCTTTATGAATTCTCCTGACATCTTTCCTTAACCTCATGACGTTTTCCCCAGGGTTAAGGTAAAGTGGATAGTGAAAGGAGATAGGAGGGACAATTTGAACGCACCCCGTGTGTTTCACTCATAAGAATGATTCAGGAATATATCTTCAACCACAACGACCTCCTCAGTCATCAGTGTTGTCCTGGACTCCGCAAACAAACCCTCAAGTGTTATTTGTTTTGAATACTTTATTAAACATACTTGTCACTTTTTTTTTTTTTTTTTGCGCCGCTTTTCTTTTTGTTTGTTTGAGTATTTATGGTTTGGGCTTTTGGTCAGAAAAAACAACTATTTGATGGAGTAATGTACAGCTTTGGGAAAGTTGTGATGACTTTTTTCGGCATTTCATTAATTAAATTAACTGATAAATGGATTAATATACATATCTGCATATGTCTTTTGTTTTATGTGTTTGCCTGCACATGAGCAAAGACAGATCAAATAAAACATTGATCACAATAAATAAATCAAACTAATCTGCAGATCACTTCATGGTGAAGACAGAAGAAGGTTGTAGCTCGGCCTCTGTTTGAGACTTTTAAAAGTCTACTTCTACTTCAGTATTCGGGCCCTATGATTTTCACATTGAGGAAAACAAAGACGGAATCACAGAATTGAAAATGAAAACTTTAAAACGCAGAATATCGTGAAATTGGCTGTTCGGTGTGATTTATAAAAAATGTTTTCCCCTCCTGTTTTTATGAAAGTAAGCTGCGTTTTAAGCATGTTTGATGCAGCTGCAGCGTCTTTCTCCTGATCCTCTGCTGTCCGCATGTCGGAGCTCAGCAGGGGGCTTGATGACACTACATCCAAAAATCCCAGCTTGGTGCTTTGACACCTCAGCTTAAACTTCGTATGTTGCTTTGTTGACCTACGAGGAAATCACGCTCCATCTTCCTGACCTAGTTTTCCAACAAAGGTTCCCCACTGTCCCTCCAAATCAGCAACAAAACTTTTTGGGTCAAAGGGAATTTCGGTTCACAGATCTCAAAAGAAATTAAATAAGTGAAAACATACCGGAGATAATGACAGTTGCTCCTGGATCGATGACCCCGCTGTTTGGCCGTACACAGTACCTGCGCGGTGCGGTCGTCTTCACTTTGAAACACACTCTTCTGTCAGAAGGGTTCTTCAATTTGAGGTTCGTGGTGACTACATCTGTGAAAGGACCTGATGGACACAGAATACAAAAGTGAAAAAGTGCTTCTGTACTTTGGAGTACACTCGTCCGCTGTGCATACCGACACAGCAGCACTACAGCAGATTTCTCCCAAAAAAAAAAATGTACAGTTACATATGATTAAGAAGTAGAAGAACATTTTTCTGGCAGCACATCCAGAACAAAGTTCACCACAGCAGAGTTGCAGAAGAGATTAAAAAAAAAAAATGCTGGAATTTGCAAGAAAGGCAATTTTTTGAGTGAACTGGCTGAATTTCCGAATATCAAACATGCTGATGACACAGCAGATATAGGGGGAATCCTATTTTTCAGGTTAAAATGTATTCCTGCCTTGAAGACATAGAGGTCCAGTAGTGTTTCAGTGCAAGAGTCTTAAAGGAATTTCTGAAAGGACTAGTTGAAAAACCATCATGGAGCAACACAATTAGGCGTGTATGATTAAAAGGACTAATTGAATAGTGAAGTTTCTGGCTTCAAACAGTATTTCAGGACAGTTTTACCTCATCTCACCCGAGAACAGGGAACAAATGAGGATCATAGTAGGCAGAATGTGAATATATTACCAGTATTATTTCATTTACACAACTATAATAGTTAATATTTTTACTCTAAGAAGAAGTTCCTCACTGTTCAGACATCTGCATTACTTTGTTTAGAGAGATGTTCCTCTTTTAATTGTCTTTGCGATACAAACAACGTACTTTATCATTTGATAGCTTTGACCGTGCAAACCATGTGAATTAAAATTGACAAACTACCTTTAACTGCAAAGCGTGTTAAAGTAGTATGAAGTTTCATATGTGTCAAAGATGATATATGTTACAAGTTCACTCTGACTCAGGTCAAAGTATATCAGGAGATCAACAGTTTGGCCTCCATCTTGTGACAGAGCCTTCGCCAAATTAGGTCCCTAACCGTCAGCATTATCCAGCTTTTCAAAGTCATAACATGTCAAAAACAAAACTTCAAGCCAAGTCAGAAGTATCCACAATCTGATTGAGCACAATTAGACTGGTAGACGGAGAAAAATATGTCCCATGATACCTGGTTAGACATAACCGCATTGCCACGACTGAGGTCTGATTTGACCTGCTGCACTGCTTGCCTGTTGCCCATCAAGAGTTTATTTCAATTTCCAAAATTCTATTCATAAAATTCATGGTAAACTAATCTTGGTGGTATTTTCCAAAAGTTTGAATCAGAGACTGTATAAATACTGGACGTAGCCACCTTGACGTCATCCATTAGTTTGTCTTTGCCATGTTGTGTTTTTCTGGGCCAGACGTGATCCTATTTCAAAGAAAGGGTGGAGCTGGATAGTAGAAGAAGAGCTATAACACTAAGTCATCAAAGCTATACAGTCAATGCTCAAGGACAATTCATTAGCTGCTAAATCAACAAGCTAACAATTGTGCTTCCCACAGAATCAGATTCTATTTGTAATAGTTGAACAGAGTATTTAAGAATACATAGCATTTAAGAATAGCTAACCGCGCTTGTGGAAAGTAGGGATCTTGTAGCTCGTTCACAACATCTCAGGTTGAAGATTTAGCAGCAGTTAAATGATACAAACCAGGTTACTAAAGGGTAATCGGTTTCTCAGCCCCGTGGTCGGCCATCTTGCTTTTATGGTAAGATCAAACAACAAGACTGACTGCTATTCACATGGCAAGTTAATTAATGTCTTATATATATATATATTATATATAAATATTCACAAGCCAACAGGAGAGGTATGTGTATACTCTGATACCTGCAAATTAACAAAAGTTCAATATTACCAGATACTTACTCTAGAAAACTAAAACGGTGAGTCAATCTTTGAAAGGCAGAAAAGGGCCACTCCTAGCAGAGAGCTATTAGCAACTACTTGTCAGTCTGTCATCACAACCAGTTATAAAAAAGAATTCCCAACCCAGTTGTTATGTATAAAATAATCGTGAAACTCTGGAATGTCAAGCTTTAAGGAAACAAACAAACTCTTAATTGGCCTTTTTTAGTGTGTGTGAGCTTTGCCCTCTGATCCTTTGAGGGACACATCAATGACTCTTTAAAATGGGACAGAGCTTTAATTTACCAAAACCTTGTTTAACAGTTTAAGGCTGAACAAATGGTGGCATGGACTAACACTGCTTGAGTAGGATTCTGAAGTCTGATATAAAGTCTTCTGTTTTATCTTTGACATCCCCAATATGTACTCGTTCTTATGGGAGGGAAAGAGTCAACAAAAAAAAAAAGATTTGTGTGTGAAATTAAAAAAAAATGTATGACCTGATAAATGTGGGGTTCAAATGTCTATTTTGAGATAATATTTCTGAATGATCTCTTAAAAATAATAGTCAGGCTTTTCTTAAGCCCTGAGTTACATGACTAGTAATAAAATGTGTAAAGATAACCAAGTTGTCTGTAGGGTAAACTAATTTTAAGTTTCTTGATGTTTTCATTCATTTTCCTTGGTCAAATCAACAAGAAGTAGAACGTTCGATTGTTGTTTTGTAGTGCATACAGCCTCCGTTCAGCCTTCCTTCACTCCCAGCAGTTGGAGAGATAAAAAGCATTACAGGACCAGATTGGAGTGGCTCCACCCAGCTAAAGCTAACATATTATGATGATGAGTTGAGTTGGGTGTTGTTTTCAGAACAGGTGCATCACAAAGGCATTCCTACAAACCTGAAAAACCTTTTGTCACATGCACAGAGTCTGCATCATATGATATCTGTTTTTACAATTTGTGTCCAACCGATTCCTGTGTAGCTTTCAAGAGGCCAATGGTAGAGAAAACAAGCCATAAAGTTGTATTTATAACTGTACAAATTATGTTGTTTTCTAGCCTGTGCTAGAAGAGGACAAATACATAGCCTTTAGTCCCACATTTGCCATACCCAACAACTGTGCCAATCATTTTAAATGCAAATCATACACTCATGGCCGTTTTAATAAATACCCTGAAAATTGTCTGTCATATTTATGACAATGATGTTGTTGTACAGTAAATTTATGTGCATTAAATTTACCCCAATCACACACGTTGAATTCTTGAGATGATAAAGTTATCTTTCAGATGTTTTGAATAAGTGAGGAATAAAAGGTATGTGAAAGTGATTTGCCTGAAAGAGTCTGACTAATACAGATTTTACAAGTCAAACTTATACAGCAATATAAGGAGGGAAATCACAACAACTATAGTTGGGCCGTACTGGATATACATTTTTTCTCTATGGATGAGCACCAAGCAGGAAACCTTCGAACGTACAAAAACCTGCAATTCATCGAGTCCTGCAGGAGCCTCAGTGTCACACACACGACACACCCGTTCAAAAATACCAGTTTTTATAACAGAATTGCACATGTTTACAGCTGGTTGCAAAAAAACTAAATTGGTCTAAATATGGCATGTCTTTATGGGCACAATCTGTACCGGGAGTCAGTTATAACTCATCTGTTTTGATTTTATAAAGGTTTAGAGTTCTTGATAATAAGGCAGGTGGCTGACCTGACTGATTGGCGGGCGCTGTGTAGCCATTTGTCAGGAGACTTAAAACCTCAGCTCCAGCCTGGTGTTAGGTTGACTGAGAGTTAGGCTGAGACAGTATTTCCAGCATGGCGACCGCCATAGACGGGCTTCCACAGGCCCCTTCAGTAACCAATGGCTGACATCACTCAGGCTTCCTCCATATTTATTTACAGTGTATGGTTAGCAACAGTTGTGTACAGATATTACTATGCAAATATGCTTAGGGGAACTTTCTTTAATAAATGACTGTATGCAAGTGTATGTGTCATAACCATAGCTCTAATGCGGACTGCGGACTACCGTCTGCTCAACTGTGATGTCATGAGCTGCAGACATGAAGTCAGAGTTCACTCTGTGGGACAATATGTGATAATATTCTCAATTATTCCCCAGCCATGTTTCTTGTATTTCACTTATGATATACATTTTTACATTCTTTAAAAAAGTTATTAAATGAGAGCATATTTAAAACCATAAAGCTGTTTCTTAAACATCTCAGATAGGCCGAAATCAGTCAACACAACACCTGAGGCTCTATTTCTGATATCCTGTACTGACGTTAAGAAACACTAAAATAAAGTGTATCTGAAAGGGAAACTTTTGGCTAATGCAGCCAACATAAGCTACTATGAAGAGGAGCAACACTCCTTAAGGAGGTGGGGATGAGTCAGGTTATTTATCAAACCCTCCTCTGTCACATAATACTCAATAAACACAACCAGCTCTCAGAACACAAAGTAACAGCATCAGCAAAAAGAATACAAGGGTGACTGAGATGAATTGTAACTCGTGGGGTTTTTTTACACTGTGAGCAATACTCAAACCAAGACTGCCTTGGATACAACACTGGAAAAGAAGTTGTGCGCATCAGATCTACACCCACATATCCTGCATCCACTGCCTAACTCTTGAGTTGCCACCTTTGCTCAAGCAGTGTTAGCACCGTCTCTCTCATCTTGTTGCATGTACGCCGAGTTAGGGTCCCCCAGGCCAGTCCTATTCTAAAAATACCAGCCAAGGAAAGGAGGGCTGCCCCCTCTAGCTTGCTGGAGGAATCCCAGCAGAGGCTCTAAAAGAGACCAGCTCTCAGATACAGGCAGACCGATTTAGCTCGGCCTCTGTGACAGTGAAGGAGCAGTGGTCATCTTCCTTCTCCTCGTATTGCTTCTCAAAGACGGAGCAGGAACCGTTTCATTTGACTGTGTTTCTCTACAATCTTCCAAATGGAGTTATCCCTTCCCTTTGATTAGAGCAATTGAGCAGTCAATTTAAAGCTAGTTCATACACAGGAGGTTAACAATTATTGGGGCCAAAACATTTTTAAAAAATGTCACAGAACAGGTTGCAAGGTAGAACTATTATCAATCAATGATCATAAGTGTCAGTGTTACTTTTGATATAGTCTTGCGGTTTAGAGTCATGATTCTATTACAGTGTAAAAATTATGTTAAATGTTGGAAGAAATGTAGACCATGTGACTGTTCAGTAAACAGCATAAGTTTAATTAGAGCAGAATTTCTTAATCAGGTTCTTGGACCTCCTCATCAGGTTCAATGAAGAGGTCCATGATCAGATTATGATGGACCACGTCTCTGACATCAGACAGGATATCAATTACAGGTTCAGCTGAAGGACACATGAAATATATTGGGTTTTCTGTTGCCCCCCATTTTCAATCCTTTGTGTAAAGTTATACGGCTTAAAGAGCTGAGCCAAATAGTTTAAATACCTGTTGCAGCAACTTATATAAAGTTGAGTTTGCTCTTTAAATTAAATAAAAATCCTACCATCCTTTTGAAAACAACTCTCCGTGAGCTTTACTGTTTTTTAACAGAAACTTTTTCATATGTCACTGACTGGCATTTTGTGCATCTTGCAAACGTCTTAACTTCCGAAAACCCTCTGAAAGTACAGGTAGTGATCATGGGTTTGCAAGGTTCATCATGAGACAGCCTGTGCATGTTTCCACCCTGTGATATTCCAGGTGTATGATCTGAACTGTGTAATGACATGTTAAGATATGACAAATCCATCTTAACACAGGAGACCATAACATGTCAGTGACTTTTTCCAAACACAAAGCTATACAGTTTGTCTGGTATTTGAACCCATGACCTTTCTGACAATTTGTCAAGTCAAGGCTGTTATCAGTAGTATCAGCTCATACCTAGTCCTCACTTGACAATCAGCCTTTCAGATCAGCAACACAATGAGCTGAAAGATTCTTGGTTTTCTGACAGTGGTGCATTCAGCAACAATAAAACAGCGCCTAGTCTCTACAAGACAAGAGACTAGTAACTGAGACAAATATAAGAAATAAAGAGAATAATTCTGACTCTAATGAACTGCTGGGATTGTCTTTGAGTAGTATGGCAGATTAGATAATAATAATAATAATAATAATAATGTTACAATTCACTTAGCAGACGCTTTTATCCAAAAGCGACGTACATCATAGAGTAGGGTACAACACTAATGCATTCATACACCGCCACCGAAGCAGAGGGAGCAATGCGGGGTTAAGTGTCTTGCCCAAGGACACATTGGACGTGTTGCTCAGTTGGGGATCGAACCCTCGAACGTCTGGTTGGGAGGCGACGACTCTACCAACTGAGCCACAAGCCGCCCACATAATAATAGAGTAGAATAACAAAAAAATAATAATAATAACATAATTCAGCTCAATACAGTTTTATTGGTAAGTGTTCATTAGTGGTCTTTAAATGACAAAAACTGATAAAAATCATACCAAAGTGGGTAATTTAAACTATGGCCTCAATAAAAGAGATTTAATTGTGCAATTAAGCTGCATGTCAACTTGTGTTTGCACAGCCATGATCAGTCAAAGGTTCACTGACACATCATTGATGGCTATCACTGCCAGGTGAGCAATCAGTGGGTTACTTTTCTGTGCCCGTGGTTGTGAGAACAATGTTGTCAGTCAACATGTTTTACCTGAGCTAAGTGGAGATAGCTGGGGTTTTTTTTACCTGAGCTAAGTGGAGATATCTGTTTTTTTTACCTGAGCTAAGTGGAGATAGCTGTTTTTTTACCTGAGCTAAGTGGAGATAGCTGTTTTTTTTACCTGAGCTAAGTGGAGATAGCTGGCTGGGCTTGGTACTAAATGTTCCCTAAAGCTGAGTCTGCTGGTTGTTATAGTTAAAAGTTTGCCATAGCAACTGTATGTTACTTCACAAGGCTTCACATAGGAGATGTGTGTGTCAGGTGTGTGCCAGGTCTGAGGCTACATTTCTCCCCAAATAAAGTTGATTTCCTTGCATATATTATATATATATATATACGTCCGGGTTGTAAGCGGTAACAGGGCTGAGCCCCGGGAGGAAACAACACTTTGCTACCTGCTAACACTACGAAGCAGCAATAGTAGGAAGCTAATGCTGCTACTGAAGAAGTCAGAGCACTTGTAAACATGCAGCTTTTTGCGTGTTCATTTTCACCCAATTTGCAATGAAAATGCCCCCTTCCCCCCCTTACAGTCTCCCACCTCTCCGCTGGGTGTTGTCAGGCAGCGGGTCGCGAATGGCAGGCGGTCAAAAGAAGCACGCCACGCCGGGCTATCCACGTCACTACAGGACGAGGATTTCAGCGGCCCCCGTCTTGTCCCCTTTTTGTGTTGCTAACTTAAAATGGCGGTGAATGCTAGCGAGTTAGCAAGCAGGGGAAAATTCGCTGGAGGGGACCGTGAAAAACCTTGCAGTCAGGTTAATACTCCACCACCGCCGCCGCCGCTGCTGTGTTTAGCGCGCTGGACATTTCACGCGTTTGAGACAATGTTGGATTCACCTACCTTTGAATTTGAGGTCGACGGGAGGGTCAAGAACAAGGATCTGATCCAACTTTGACATTTTTAAGCTGAAAGGGATGCACTTGATTTCGGTATCGGGGAGTGTAACTGACAAGTGGAAAATCCTGGATCCTGTGGCTGCCACTACTGAGTCAAACGCTGACTGAGCTGTGAGAGCGAGCATGTGGGTACTAATACTGGAACGCGCACAGCCCTGTTGCGCGCCCTCGTGGCTCTGCAACTGATGTGATTATGGTGAAGTGTGTGAACCATAGACTGTAAACAGATGTGAACTAAGTGTACTGAGTGAAATACATGGGAAGAGAAATAACTCCTTATGAAATACTGAAAGAGCAGTCTGGTAAATGTCACTTTGATTGGTCAGTGTTTGAGGAAATGCACTTTGACAAAGCATGTGAGAATAAGTATTAATTGTCCTTTACTTTCAGTTAGTTCATACATTTTACATCACATGTCAACATAATGTTATCAGGGGTGCAAACGTGTCACCTTTCGGCGAAATTCACCGTTTTGGATCCCAAATAGGTCATTTGTGTGATTCATTCACTTTGACTTTCTTTATTGTCATCCAAACTTGTACTTCACAGTGCAGATAAGAACGACATTTCGTTGCATTTGACTCGTTATTGCAGGATAAAAAACAGCAGCAAGTATTCACAGAAAAAAATAAGGTGCAGATATAAATAGATATAAAAAGAAAAGCTATGAGTGAAATTGCTATACAGATAAATATATTGCACGTTTGTGATGTATGTTATGTTGTATTTTACAGTCCAGTGTGGGGGTTTGAGGGGGAATGGAGGGATTATATTTTCGTGTTCAAAAGTCTTAAATTAATTAACTGTTTGGCCAGCAGGAGCAAAACATCAGGTTAATAGGGTTTTTTTTATGTTTCACTGAAGCTTTATCAAAAAGTTAAAACAGAACATAGATATAGACAAGCAATTGTGTTTTTCTTGTTGTTTGCACTGCATCTTTAGTCGGTCTGAATGCTAAAATCATCTGTAAATTCACATTTTAAAGCTGATATTTAAAATAAATCTTCCAGGGGGAGCATGCCCCCGGACCCCCCTCGGAGGTTTGGATACATGTCACCTTTTTCATCCCTGATGAGTTTGCACCCCTGTGTTATTATCATATGGACATGGCCAAAATCTACTATGAAAACACGCAGCTCATCGATTCAAAATGAATCCTAGAATATTCTGGATCTTAATATATCCTTCTTAGCCTACCTGTTTTTTGCTGTTGTGTAGTTTTTGTTCATTTCAGTCATCTTCCAACTTATTAAAAGATCTCATCACTGTTACGCTGTTAGCAAAAAGAAGAATTCTGCTGAACTGGAAACAAAAAAATCCTCCAGTTTATCAAGCTTTAATGAATGATGTAATTAAGCATTTGCAGTTAGAAAAAATAAAGTTTACCCTGAGAGGAAAGATAAATCTGTTTTACTTAATATGGCAGCCATTTATAGACGACTATAACAAAAACAACCCCAGGAAAAAATAATAATTTAGTAAAATCCAGAGCACTAGACATCCTCCAAGTTGTATTATTATTACTATTTAAATCTTTTTATCTTATTATTTTGGTATTATATTTGTTTTTTACTTGTGTTTTTTATATCTTATCTTTTTATTTATTTATTATCATTGAGTTTTTTGTGTTGTTTGAGGTATTAATAAACATGCCTCAGATTGTTTGTTTGTTTTTTTCCTGTATTTGAAAAAAGAAAAAACCCCAATAAAGAGAAGTTAAAAAAAAAGAAAAGATCTGATCACTGTTAGATAGACAATAGATTGTAGTGGTGGTGCTTAAAGAAGTAGTGGGTATACTCTTAATTTTTCCCAAAAATGTTTTTTGTAAGTGGCCCGTCCATCAGAGGATAAACAGCCTGTTATAAACAGCACATGTAAGACTAGCCTACTCCTACATTTAGTTTGTGTGTATTAGCCAATTAGAGACAGAGTAAGGAGGGCCATCCCTTCACCATCAGGGAAGAAATTGCAGCAAACTACTGAATATTGTACATCAATCAATGGTGTAAATCAGAGGAGATTTAGAAGTGTATACCCTATGGAAACTGAAAAATAAGTGGGAATACTCCGTATACCTGTGTATAACCTGCACTACACCACTGGATACACATTAAGTTAATGTGTTAAAAACAAGAGAACCTTAACTTATTACATCAACCCTCAACTCCCTTTATAGTAATACAGAGCAGTAAATTACATTCTAATTGCATTATATAGGCATATTACAACCTGTCAACCTGATAGAGCTGATTATGTTCCGTTTATAAATGGATTACATGATCAAAGAAAATTAGTTGCCAGCTTTTCTGACAGTTGTTTTATACAAATAAATACAAAGGCCTTTATATTAAATATATATTAAATATTTGTCTTTCATTTGCTTTATGTTAAATGTCCTCAGTGATTTCTTCATGTGATGTGGCACACATTCCAGTTTATTAGTTTATTTCAATGTTACTGTTCTCTTTGTTTTTGTCTTTTATGTAAGTAGAGTAGGCTGAAATTATTCCTTTGGAAAAGTCCCTTCCACCTCTGGGGAACAGATACATTTCTTTTAACTGGTATGATGGGAAATGAATGCTTTCTGAAACTTTTAAATTCACTAACTAATATCAATATTTGAAAAATCTGATGTTTTAAGTAACCAAAGATTGGCTTTCACAACTGAAGTTAAAAAAAAGGGGTTTGATTTAGAGGGTTGGATACTCTGAACCAACATGGACTCTTAAAACTCTCAAACATATCTCTGACTTTTGTCTGCTGTGATTTTTTAGGTTAGGTTATTTTAGCAAACCAATTTATCAGTTAGACTTCAAAGTCTAGATCAATCAAAACTTTCATAAGTGTCTTAAGAAATAAGGATATAAACTAATTATACAGTCATTTCTACATTTATTTTCCAAAAATAACTGACATACATAATTTAAGAATTGTATCTGCCCTAACACAATATACTCATTATCACAGTTAATTAAGTTATTTCATTTATAAGAGAAGATTTTACCCCATCTCTGAGTTCACCGTTAACCCTCTCATAAGAGCGAGAGTCTACTTTTAGATTTAAAACAGCACATTGTTAGCATGTTATTACTTTTCATGTTCTGGCATCAAATCATAATGAACTCCCCCACAAATATTTTGACATTTCAATAAACTATTTGGTGCAATTTTAGACACAAATAATTGTCAAATCTATCAGGGTGCCTTTGAGGGATTCAATCATAAGTTTTTCACTTCTAGTCAGTGTCCAGGCTCCTGACACGACAGAGAATCAAACTGCTGGATCACATCCAGATTTGTCCGGATTCCAGCTGTAAACTGTAAAATATGATTATCAAGTAAAATCCTGATTTTCACAGTTTGAACTATCAACAACCCCCTTTTAGTCTCTGAGAGACTGTTGACAACTGTGGCTATGTTTAAATCCATCTCCGTGACAAGTGTATAGACCCCCCCCCACCCCCCCACCTCTTCTGACTGTAAGCTGCTGAAGAAGTAATCCATCCACTGCTGGGAAATGAGTAGGACTGGAATGCTACACTGTTGTGCAGTTTACAGTTTTTTTAAAGAAGTCATGTGAAGCTTGTGCTTGCAAAAATTAAATTATAAAAAATAGATTTAAGTATACTCTAAATTCTATTTTTAAGTGTTTCCTATTTCACAGTTCAAGATAAAGATGTGGGAGAGTTACAGAAGTTTTCTAAAGTTTAAATTTCCTTCCAGAGGATAAAAAAAGGTTCACTTTTCTGACTTCGTCTATTTTGGTAAGGACTGGAGTAAATGCCACTAAAATACGTTCATTTTCATTTACAGTGTTAACGTAGCTCAGTTGAAGTCCGTACCACTTTTTTTTCCTGACGTTAGGAGGTTAATCCACACCATGACCCTTTGTTACTGAGTTCCCTCTCTCTTTTTTTCTAGCTCATGAGATTGTTCTGCTGTCTTTCACATTTCCAATGAAGTACCTAAAAGCATCAGTGGTTGAAAGCATCACAAAACCAAACAAAAAGTAGAATAATCACTACTTTATTACACTGATGAATATACAAAAGTTAATCTGACCTATAGGGAGGTTACAGGGAAGCATGACTTATGCATACAGTACACAGTATGGATGGCTACAGATCATCTCAGAGCTGACTGTTACTGCATTCAACTAGTCTGTGCTGAATTAGTCAAGTCTTTATACCAGCAGTATGCGCTTTAAAGTCATGTTATACAATGCTTAGAAAAATATGAAAAAGGCACTTGGGTTGGGAAACACACAATATTAAATCTCAACATGTGACCACTAATAACATTTCTTTGCTCAGTATGTGATTATCTCCTGTATGAAATGTCCATCAATCTCGGCCATTATCTGACCTTCTGCACATTTGGCCCACTGAGCGGCTCCTAATTCAGTTTCAGCTTTCAATTTCAGCCAGTCACGGAGATACGTTCTAGTGGAGGATGGTTAGCCATATGTCTGTCATTTGAAGGATGTAAAATATCCTTAGTGATTACATGTGACACACATTTACCCACTGAAGCTCAGGACTCAGGAACGCTTAGGTTACATCACGTCCTGGTAGGTGTATTGTTTGTTTGTTTACCAGTAAAAAAGGCCACATGAATTAGATAATGTATGGGAGGATTTTTGTGTGACTCGACACATATTGTTACATTTAGACTAGAATTGCATTGCAAATATCTTAAAATCACTTAAATCCCTCTTTTTAATGAATAGACCTAGCTTCAATAAAGCTGTTTTTTAATCTGATGAGATGTAGAACCAGGAATACTGTGACATAGTAAACCCCTGTGTGTGAGCCAGCTTTCATTTCCATGTTAATCAAAAAGGCTGTAAGTAGTTCTGTAATTGTTTTAAACACAAATGACTCACTACATTTCTAAAGTTGTGAAAAAGTGCAGATTTTTAAGTGGTCAAATCCAAGGGCCATACTTCAAAAGAAAAGGCTGCTTTAAATATACATTATATTAGTCTGTAGAACTTGGCTGAGGGCTTTTTCAGCGCTACCATTTCCCTCTTCTTGCAAGCTAAAATAGATCATTTTAGGGATTTATTCGTCTATGTTCTTTAAAAGTTAGGTTGGTACACTTAACATAATTCTTCACACACTTCAACAGCTGTAAGCCCCAGAGTGCCATTTACAGTTTACACAATGTGAGTCATGTCACTTTTTTTGGAGTAAAGGAAACAAAAAGTTGTTTATGTGTTGTTCATTCTGAGATATTAGAAACACGAGGCCTGTGTGTTCAGTGTGCAAATCGTTTGAAACGGGAAAAAGACGCCCCTTAGAAATGGCATGCTCTCTGATCGGGTTCTTAGTCATGTTTATAGTGAAACACTTGAAGGTATTTTCTTCTCTCAACGCGACAAATGTCTTTAAAAAACATAAAAAAACCTACATTTGGGTATACACTCAATCCCTGTGAAATCTGAGACAATTCTTTTCAGCATGTAGAAAAACATTTTCAACATAATCCCATGTAAACATCTCAAGTATTGGTCACAGTGTTTCAGATCAGGGTGTCATACTATAATCGTGTTTGAAGGTGTCCCAGCTGTTCATTCTTCAGCAATACAGTTCAACCATTATACAGCAAATGTGTGTGACAACACATGACGCAGTGGGATGTAAAGGTGCTGCATTTCAAACATCAAACTGAAGTCTTGTTTACAGTTTAAACTCAAAAACCTCTTACCAAATACTCCCATTCAAATCTGTAAAAGAGAGATACAAACGTGTACATAAAAGCTCCATGAGGAGAGAAGTGTAGCCTTGATAAGAATGAACATGAGGAAAACTGTCATCAAGCCCCGTTTCCACCAAGCGGTCTGGTTCAGTTCGGTACGATAACCATTTATTGGCGTTTCCACCGTCAAAAGTTGGGAATGGTACCAAAATAATGGATCTGTACCGTCCTACTTTTTTTGGTACCCTTCTGTTGGGGTGCCAAGGGTATCAATTCAACCCTCAAGGGTCCACTTAATTAAAAACTGTGTTGGGCTGCTATAATGTCACACTATACATTACATAGCTGATTTGGCTATCTCCATCTGGCTTACACTTTGTTTAACAAATAATGCTACGGTTAGCTGTTGAAACACATGCAAGATAAGGGTTTACCGTACCGAACTGTACCAAACTGTACTGAAACAAACCGGACTGCTTGGTGGAAACGGGGCTAGAGTGTGCCTGTTTGCTCTTTTCAGTGCAGTGAAAATGTTGTTGCATTAAAAACTGGCTTAAAAAGCACATGAGCTAGATCACTTGTTATTCATTGACTTTAAAAGCTACTATGTTAAATGGTATGAAACCTTAATTTAATACTGAACTATGAGTTATATCTCAGACAGAAATCCTGCTGTAATTCAGCAAAAACACCACCAGATGGAGACAAACTGAAGGCTTGTGTTGAAGCTGCTGCACTAGAACAGCATGAATGTGTTCTGATACATATAATACTGGTGGTACTTCATAATGCAGTTGACCGCATGTGCAAGCTGAACTCTGTCCCTCTACGGTCCAGTCAGAGTGATACACTGGGTGCATTATGGACGCTGTGCTGTGCTGGAGGAGGTAATGACATCACACACTGTTGGTACTAGCAGCATCTCCTGCTGGACGGAGCGGGCTGCCGGGTGAGTTTGAAGGACTCGTTGCTTTCAACCTCAGCGTTTTCCAGGGGGGGGATCTGTTTACCTAAACACACAGCAGAGTCAGCAACAGAGTCTCAATGGCACATTTACATTTCTTTGCAAGAATAGTGTATTACTGTAAATTTAGAGTATTATTGTAAAAAGTGTATTACTATTATCATCACTGCCTTGTATTTGGCAGCACATCCCGGAGACCACGAATCCTAGCAGCCATAAACTAAAACACTCGAATCAAAATGTCCGAGCTAATGCTTTCCTTAAAGGGACAGTAATTTTGTTGGGAAAGTTGGGTTGTATGGGGAAACCGGACAGAGTGCCGCCACTGAAGCTAGGCAATACAGTTTGAAAGGCGAGGCCGGTTAGACAAAGTCACAACGTGGCAAACACTGAACAGTTGCAGAAGCTGCTGTTTTATTAAAGGGCTGAACACTGAAATCATTACTGTTAATCATTTCCTCATATCTTTCTCTTAACCACTAACTTTCAAAAGAATACAGCCAGGGGCTCCACCCAGACCTCCTGGTCCCATTAAAAGATAAGACATGGGGCCCCTCCCCCCACAGCCCAAACTAACCCTGGATAATTTCTAAAACCACACCTCCATCACACAGATGACCCAAGTCAACTTTAAACAACAATATAGAATAGTCCTACCCCCCCCCCCAGCACATACAGCACAGAAGATATAAGGCGAGTACAGTACAGACATGAAACCTACTGATTTTCTGAAAGAGCTCCTCTACGTTGACAGCATTTCTGGCACTAGTCTCAATGAAAATAGCTGCAATTGATTCAGCAAATTCTTTTGCTTCCTTCATTGGAACTTCCCTGGAAAAAGAAAAAAAAAACAACAGCAACACTTTAGTGACGGGGAGTGATGTTTAGATTTCACCACAGTCTCGTGGTAAATCAAACATTTCATCAGTGAGTTTCACCCATTCCATCTCTGATGAATTTGTTCTGGGAGACAGACGGAGAAGATCAGAACTGGAGAGGAGGAGCGGCGCTTTTCATTATGAGTCTGATACGACACTATAATGGTTTCATTAATTCTTTAAAAAGAAAAACTGTAATGATCTCCTGATTCATACAAGTGTGGTTTCACCTTTTACAAGCTAAAAACCTGTTTACAAAACCACAGCTCTGTTTTTGATCTTACAAATCGATAACTTACAGCAGCTAATATGGACAAACTAAAATGATTGCTAATTTATTATTATTATTTGAAAAGTCCTTTACTCAGGTATCATGGTTCTTTTTTAGCTTCAAGATGGTTTGAAAAAGGAAATAAATAATGTTTTGTAATGTTATATATATTTATAACTGTAGGCAGCAGGTAGCTTTCAAATCCAGCCTTGATCCAGAAGTCTTGAGCCCGGCGTACACTTTATGATTGCATATGCCAGAAAATCATCCATCCGGTCAGGAGCAGCTGATCGGGCTGTGATCGACTGTGGTACTGCCTGAATGACGATTCGCGATCAGGCCGACTTCAAAATAAGTCATGACTAAAAAATCAGGTCTAAATCAGCCTGAAATCATACAGTGTACGCCCTGCTTAAAGAGATGATGAAGCTCCTGATGGCAGCGATTGAGACATACGGTAATATTCTCAAACATGAGCTTAAAAACAGGCACAAGAAGAAGACTTAATTGTCTTGTTTACAGCAAATATGCACCTTGTGGGGCGCGCTGGTGGCGCAGTGGTTAGGGCGCGCGTCCCATGTATTGAGGCTGTCGTCTCAAGCGGGAGGCCCGGGTTCGTTTCCACCCGTGGCCTCTTTCCGCATGTCATTCCCTGCTCTCTCTCCCTGATTTCCGACTCTATCCACTGTCCTATCTCTGCATTAAAGGCACAAAAGCCCAAAATAAATCTTTAAAAAAAAAAAAATGCACCTTGTTTGTCAAACCTGTGAGAGTATTCTGTTCAAAAAGTACCAAAAGGAAGTGTTGAAGTAAAACATGAGTCATATTTAAACTGTTAGACGACCTGTGTCCAGAAACAAAGAACTATGACATTATAGCTGAACAGGAAGATGTTTGATAGTGGAGAGGTACACACACACCTTACTGTCTAAAATGTTTTGCTTCAGTCGTCTATTTGTATATAGACACTTTCTTTGATATTATCACCATCTCATGGCTGAGAAGTATTTTCTCTACAGCTGTGAGAGTTGAAGAAAAGAAACGTTATCTCACCTGATGTCTCCTAAATCATTCTTGTTCCCTGCTATGGCTACAACAATGTCCTCTGGGCCGTGCTCCTTCAGCTCCTTCACCCACTTCTTCAGTGTCTGGAAAGAGTCCTGAACAAAAAGGAACACACAACCATTGGTCCAGCCAGGCGTTAGGTTCTCCGCGAGAGTACAGGCAACCTTTTTTTAACAACCAGTGTCACGGATCATTCATCCCATTAGGTGATGTATTTCAGACAGTTTTCCATTATCAGAGCGGGAAAGAATGAACTTTGTAGGTCGGTGAAGAGAGGCAGCCCAGAGTGATGGAAAAGTAATTGAATTTTACATCAGGCAACTAGCTTCTTCAGCTACACACTTTGAGCACACCAGGGATTTATTCAACCAAACAGCGTCTCTAATGGCACAGCTGGATGAAGGCCAGCTGATGTTTTGGTGGCAGTAAGTTAGCTTTATGGTATTTAGCAATTATCTTGGGGCTCTATCCCTCTAATCTCTAACGGAGAAAGGAATAATCGGCATTAGTAAAGATATGATGTTTGCAAACTAAACTCTTGTAGGGACTTTTCTGGAAGAAAACAGAAAGACCTGATATGAGGGCCAGGATTAAGAATATGCATCAGTGCAAGGCTATGGAAAAAAATGACATATACACTCAGAGGCAAACTGGATATGTATGAGAAAATGTGGAAAAATAAGTATTATCAAGAGCGTGGCAAGCTGGGGAACCTACTGATCAAAGGAGACTAACTGGACAAACAACAACAAACTGAACTTTGTTTGAGCCTGTGACATACCCTTGAATTAATGATTGTATCTTATTTTATCATTATTTACTTTATTTTCTATTTATACTTACTGGTAACTGTTAATTCTTCAGTGTGCAAAGATGCATGTACTGTTCTTTAATCCCTATATGATTTCAAATTGGTTTTTCCCCTTTAGATCTATGTCCCTCTTGTTATAAGTCGAGAGGAGTGGGGGTTTGGGGGAGTTTAAGGGAAGTTTACATGACCTTGTAAATGTTTTTTTTTACTTTCTGATGTGAAAACAAAAACATATTGTAAAATAAAAAAGACTGTTCTTTTCTTCTTACCAGCTTTGTAATGTCATAGACTATGACAGCAGCTGCCGATCCTCTGTAGTACATAGGAGCTAAAGAGTGAAACTAAAAAAGACAACAATATTGATACAAGTTAGTTAAAGTTCATCCAATAAAGTCTACAGCTATCTGATATGAACAAACTCTTCAATCTGGAACATATCACACTCAACACGTTGTGTCTATCCATAAGGGACAATATGAACTGTGAGTAGACTATGCCCAAACATTCTTCAGTGATGAGTGGCCAATGGAAAATGTTTCTTCCTTACAAGTTTCAACTCCTCTGAAATCACTATAAAGGTTATTTTAGTGTTTAGAACAGGACTATTGTAAAAGAGAACTGAGTACAGCCTCTAACTAAAATGTACAAATTGTACTTTAAAGGGCTCTCATTGAAAACAGGGCTGTCTACATGACGTACGGCCTTAACTACATGAATATTACATTACAGCTTTCTTCACCACTATCCTTACCTTCATTTGTAACACCTACATCAACACCACCTTGTACTCTTTTTCTGTTCCAGTGCCTTTATGACATCAAGACAAACTCAGATTGTAAATGGTAAATGGACTTGAGCTTGTGTAGCACTTTTCTCACGCTGACAAAGCGCTTTTAAAACCGCAGGTCACACCCGTTCACACACTGACGGCAGAGGCTGTTATGTAAAGTGACCATCAGAAGTACGGTAACTAACCCATTCATACACATTTACATACCACTGAAGAAGCAGCAGGCCCAACTAGGGGTTATGTATGTTGTCCAAGGACACATGTGCTGCAGGAGCTTGGGATCGAACCCTCGACCATTCGGTTGAGAGGTGACCGACTCTACCACTGAGCCACAGCCGCCCAAATGATATGTTGATATGTAACCATCTACTGTAGTCAGAATGAATGTGTACCACATCATCCCTGCCAACCATTGTACAATAACAACACCTCAGACACATCACAATGTCTTTATATTGGATAAAGCTAAGAACATCTTAATAATTCAAGTGTAAGGACATGTGTATCCCAAAAAACCTTCCTTAGTAGGGTCTTATTTGACTGTTATGTTATTCACAGATGTACCAAGAAGGTTCGAGTGTTGTATCAAAGATCAAGAGAACTTTAACTCTCTGTAGGTATAACTTTTACAAACACATAGCCAATACTTGCACTAGTTTTTCCAAGGTGTAAACTTATCCACCAAGCTCACTAGGCGATGCGTGAATCATCCTATTTGACACCTATTAATAACTCCATGTCATGGGGAACACTTACAGAGAAACGATTGTGTCACTGTGAGCTTTTTTGTGCAGAATGTAATGGAAAATTAACTTCTCTTCAGCAAATGTGGAATTTCTCTTGCACTTTACTCACCCTTTCCTGTCCGGCTGTATCCCAGATCAGAAATTTGTGTAGTTCATGTCCACATGGCACTGTTTTAGTGAGGAATGATGCTCTGCGGATTATAGAGAGCATTTCACAATAAGGCCTCTGAATGTGATCTTTAAACAAGAAACAGGAAATAAATGAGTCAAATAACCTAAAATAAAACCCATGTTGTATTAAAGTACTAATGCTGTCGGGTCAAAGGCCAATTAAAAAGCCACCAAACAAGACGTTTTCACACACTTCTATACTGGAGCGAGCAATCATTTTCAGCATGATAACTTTCTCTGAAAATATACAGCTGTATTCACACACAATACAGTAAACAAATATAATTGTCTCATTATTATTATCAGTTAAAATGACACTTAGGGGAATAAAAACAGAAACTTTTTTAAAATTGGAAAAAAATCACTTTGTTATATTTTCACTAAATATGAAGTCCCTAACGTGGGTGAAAGCCTTCTTCAAACATCTGCTTATAATGAAACAAACTATTACCATAAAGAAATCATGGAACATCTATTAGTTTATGGCTAAATGACACAAAGACTGAGGTATGTTCTATAGTTTATCTTTAAAGATGGGGATCCATTTCTTTGATATCAGACTCTGTAAACAAAAGAAGTGAGGGGCTCTCTGATTCAGGTTGTTAGTGTCAGGCTAGTTAGCTCACTTAACCATCGTAACCTAGGACACTACACGGTGGACTGCAGTCTGAACCTTGACCCAGACCTGCTGTCTAGTTTTTGATTAGCATTTCAGTTTTTAACAGCACAGCTTTTCTTGCCTTTGTCCCCGTGGCCATACGTCTGTACAACACCTCACGGTTATGGCAGGGGGAAAGCACACACTTGGACTAAATCTTCCTTTTTTCCATTTCCCATCTGCACAGCTGTCCCAAGAGTCAGCCTCTAGTTGGACACTTTAATGATCACCTCAATTACTTAAATAGCACCTTTAATTTAATGTTTGCACTGCCTGTTATTTAATGTCTGTTTTTGATAACTCTGCACTATCTGTTTTTTAAACATCGCTGTACATATATAAACAACACAACTTCAGAAGGTCAACACTTTTTTATTTTTTTATACTCAGGTCTAATTACAGATTTGTTTCCTCAACTGTTTATAGGTTCCTGTTTAAATGTCACATATATTTTTATCCCTGCACAGGTTATGTACATTTCTTCCATAAGTCTATTTTTTTAATTGCACAGTTTAAGTTTGTTTCATCTAGAGGTATTCTTTAAATCTTTTTTTGGGGTTAATATATATGTATGGGAGGGGGGTCGTTGGTTTTGTGGTTTAATTTTTAACAAATGTTTCATGTCATGTACGTCTTTGTAACCTGCTACTGGATGCTTTGAATTTCCCTCGGGATCAATAAAGTATCTATATATCTATCTAGTAGAATTTAAGCAGCACAGCTTTTTGGCCACAGACCGATGCATACTGTATGTTCATAAACGTCACGCATGATGCCCGTCAGCCAAACAAATGATGCGAGTGCACCTAGTGGGCTTGTGATTATCATCGACTGTATAAAAAGATTAACATGACAACCAAGGAGATTTTGTCAAATCATTAGATGATATGAGAGCAAAGATTTACCAATAAATCATCACATTGAGAAGGGTGCTTTCGTAAACAAGCAACTATATCACAGAATATACCGATACATTGTCAACTGAATGCAGTACAGACCACAGTCTGAACAGCTGTGAGTGATGGCTCTGATCAGCTGCTATGACTCTGATCAGCTGTGAGTGATGGCTCTGATCAGCTGCTATGACTCAGATCAGCTGCTTTGACTCTGATCAGCTGTGAGTGATGGCTCTGATCAGCTGCTATGACTCTGATCAGCTGCTTTGACTCTGATCAGCTGTGAGTGATGGCTCTGATCAGCTGCTATGACTCTGATCAGCTGTGAGTGATGGCTCTGATCAGCTGCTATGACTCTGATCAGCTGCTTTGACTCTGATCAGCTGTGAGTGATGGCTCTGATCAGCTGCTATGACTCTGATCAGCTGCTTTGACTCTGATCAGCTGTGAGTGATGGCTCTGATCAGCTGCTATGACTCTGATCAGCTGTGAGTGATGGCTCTGATCAGCTGCTATGACTCAGATCAGCTGCTTTGACTCTGATCAGCTGTGAGTGATGGCTCTGATCAGCTGCTATGACTCTGATCAGCTGCTTTGACTCTGATCAGCTGTGAGTGATGGCTCTGATCAGCTGCTATGACTCTGATCAGCTGTGAGTGATGGCTCTGATCAGCTGCTATGACTCTGATCAGCTGCTTTGACTCTGATCAGCTGTGAGTGATGGCTCTGATCAGCTGCTATGACTCTGATCAGCTGCTTTGACTCTGATCAGCTGTGAGTGATGGCTCTGATCAGCTGCTATGACTCTGATCAGCTGTGAGTGATGGCTCTGATCAGCTGCTATGACTCTGATCAGCTGCTTTGACTCTGATCAGCTGTGAGTGATGGCTCTGATCAGCTGTTTGACAGACAGTCTTATGTGTTTTGAAGAATTAGGTCAGAGAGACACTATCTCTAAATCACCCAAAGCACTATTTTCTGCATATTGTGTTCTTAAATCAGAAAAGAAATGTGCTAATACCAATAATATCGGCTTAGCCACATATCAGTCAGACTCTTGATGTCTGGAAATGTCCTTGTTCTGTTGAAAAAGTCATGATCAAACAGTGTTCGCTGATAAAGACTTTGAACTTCATTTGCTGCCAAGACAAGAGTAGACTTTAGCAAAGAGAAAGTCTGAACACAAAGCATCATGTGTCTCTTGTTTGATTGATTTATCTACTTGTTGATCCTCTTTGGTAAACCTCAATGCTCTTACCCTATTGTTGGACTTATGTTGTGGTCAAAATGATCCTGGACGAATCGGCAAACAATGCTAGATTTCCCAACTCCAGTGTCCTAAAAACAGAAATATGATTCATCAGTCACATCACTTGTTAACACAGAACAAAGACAGTCACTATTGATCAGGCAACTGTTTGGTCACATGCTGACCCCCATCAGGAAGGTTTCCTGTTTGTCCATACATTCAACAACTGGCACTGAATTTTAAGTCAATCTCACAAGTTTGTGCAAGACAACGCACTGCAATTTCCCACTTACTTAACAACCCAAAAAATTACAAGAAAACTGGAGGCCTAAATGGCCTTTACAGCTTTTTTCTAGGTGATTAAAGATAAAGCTAAAAGATGGCTTTATACTATTACAGCCTAATGACTACAGTCCGGTATGCGTCCAACCAGAGGGTTAACAAAAGACTGGGAAGTAAGAGCAGCAGGCCTACCTAGAAAACCTTAAATTGGCTGTGAAAAAAAAAAAATGCTTATTGAGCATGTCAGTTGCCTAAGGCGGATTACACAAGCCTGGCAGACATTGAAAACTCACAAGAAGTTCACAGTTCCGCTTAAGTTGTTTTATAATTGATGTTTTTTAGCGGTGAAAACGTCTTGAAGTACTCCTGGTAAAGTCTGCTTTTCGCGAACGCAGCAGGAAATCTAACGGGCGGCTGAGCAGGCTGACGATGACGTAATGAACCATAAAGTGTCATTTAGTCTTTTACATCAATAACGGTGTTAATATGTTTACTTATGTTCATTATCACAAGTGTAAGAAACACAAAGACGAACACGACGTTCAAACAATAGTGGGAAAAAAGCACTGCTACGCCCACCGACTATTGGTTTTCTCTGAACTTGCAGCAACAAATGTTTCATTTTATAGTTTTCAGACGAAGAGGAACAACACAAAGTATCAAAAAGTACCCGGTGTTTACAGAGTATTCGTGACGGATGAAACAGTGAATCTCTGTGAGGGTGTAAATATCCTCATATGTTGTCCGTTAGATCCAAACGAAACAGACTGAAGGAATTTTCCCCTAAAAAAAAGAAAAAAGATCAACAAAAACATCTGTCACTCACCCCTAAAAGACACACTTTAAGCTCCCGTATGGCCATGGTTAGTCCTGGAAGTTTTTAAATCATCATTTGTCAGTCTTCTCTCAGTGTCTCGTCATGCTTGAAACCATCAAACTATTCTTTTTTTCTCCTCTTGTTGGATAAAAGAGAAACCCAGCCCTTCAGACAGACAGACAGGATGACCATCTCCTCTACACGTGTGTCAAGCAGCACATTAGACAAATAGTATTTCCGGTAGATACTTTCAAAATAAATGTTGCATTGCCGCATCCCTCAGAGCACATTTTTCTTAATTATAAAAAAGATTATTGATTGATACAGCAATCCTCAACTTTATTTCATATTTAACTTTTCCAAGTGAACTTCAATTAGGCTACCTTGTTCAATAGTCGACTTTTTCTAATTTGAGTAAAATCCAATAGAAATAATAACCACCAAAAACAAAATAACCTCAAGTTATTCAGGGATATTTGCCCACTATTAGCATCCAAAATTGTGTTTCAGAATAATTGAGTATTTGAATTTATTTAGTAGGATAGCCCCTTGAGATATATCATCTCATTTTCTTAAAAATTAGATGTCCTGTTTTGCTGTTTTGCTCTATTTTTATGTTTTCAATGTTTGAATGTAATTTTCAATTTGGTAAATTCTATTTGTGATAGTAAATATTCTTACTATTCGATATTTTTACTGTATTTTATTTTAACTTTGTTTAATCTCTTAAGGTGAGGTTTTGAGATAAGCCCTCATGGGTTTCTAGCTCACCTGCACGTGTTTTATTTTTGTATTTTTGTATTTTCTGTTTGATTCTTCTTTCAATAAATGTGCAAATAAACTAAACTCAGCTAAAATAATATATCTTGAAATGAACCAAATTTCCCCTTACAGCAATTACCTATTGGAAACTGCAGACTTTGTCATAAATTCGGGCAAAAATATGCAAATAGAATTTTTTATGTTTCGAAGCCGGACTTCAGTAGTAATACACTTAATGTTATGAGAACAACAATTTTAAGTGACTATTATTTTCATATACACAGTTGTTTGTGTTTATGAGGGAAGCTTTGAAACAGAATTTCCTACATGTAAAATAACTCATTCCTAGTTGGTTGTATTTTTTTTTTTTTTACAATAATACACACATTTTAAAATCAAACTCCTATATTCAATACTAGCCAGCTCTGAAAAGAAAGGGTACTCTGATTTTGAAACCAATTTCACATACATCCTGTCTCTTTCTTTCTGCTTTCGTCAAGCTTGACTACTTTCCAAAATCGGAAACCAGTCAAAGATAGAGACAAAAAAAAAGAAGAGTGACTCTGCTATCTCTTTAAGGTACTCAAGACTTTAATTCCAAGATGAAACTCAAAAATGCCAAACTTCACTTTTTAAAAATGGATGCAAACTTTGAATTTACAACCTCATTAGGCGGGTAGAAGGGAGCGGCGTTCAGAAAATGGGTAATGGAAACAGAGAGAACTAATTACAGTCAGTCAGTCCACGTAGCTCAGTAAAAAAGGTGAAATATTTAGACTATTTCAGAGAAAGACACACAGATTCAGATGTTTATTTTTGGACACTTTATTCTTCACAGCAGTATTCTGCCTGCAACAATAGGCTACAAAAGCCAAGGACAATATGAAAATAACTTCATGAGAAGCTTCTGAGCCCAATCCAACATTTATATGTTTCAATCACAGGATTAATAAAAACATGTTGAATCATGAGTCCAGATGAGATTGCTTTGATTTGCCCATGACCAAAGCAGGGCAGTTGCACTAGCATACTCCATACAGGTCAACAATAATAAAAAAAGGAACATATGACAAAACATAAGAGCTGAAAATAACAGTATGTATGCAATTTTACATTATTGTACACAAACCTTAAGTAAGCCAGGCCATGCCTTTGCTTTAAATATCACTGAGTGATGTCAGCACTTTGCTTAAGTCACAGATCAGTTGCGAAATTAAATGATTGACACAGCCCAGTACACAACAGAACCGAGCCAGCCTCCTGCATGTGTCTTCACACAATTAATCATCACTACAGATTTTTTTATTCCATCGTCAAAAAATCAGAGGAAGGTCATTTCATGTTTGTGCAGAGTAACAGACAAGATGATTGCACTACAAAGCAAAGTGCTGTTTTCACTGATTGGCTGTTTATTTTTTTTTTTAAAATCATGCAGTGATGAAAAAGCTTTTTGTTATGCATTTGTCTTTCATTCATGTTTTCATCCACTGGTCAGTCTGCAAGGTACAACGCCACGATGTCTACATGCACCTGCCGATCAAAGAAAAGAAAGCATCTACAATATATTTATTTTTTATATATATTCATATATTACTAAAAGCTGTCATTTAAAATCAATGAATTTCTAGATAGTCACGAGTATTCTTCAGAATACTACTTAAATATATAATATATAGATAGACCAATCATGAATTCTTCATTTTTCAAAGAGCTTCTTGTGTTAGTGGTTCTCTAAGGGAAACATGTCCAGTCTGGCATCTTCAGTTATGGCACAGTGGTCTCTATCCTAACATGTCAGATATGCATCTAGGTAAGCAACATATTTAGAAAACAGGGACTGAGATTATATCTGGTGTCTTTTTTTTTTTGAGACTTAACCAGTGAGAGAATAATTCTAACCTGTACACAGACACAGCGCACATCTCTTACTCCTTCTTCCATCCCCTTACCTGCGCTAGCAATCCCTTCATTTCTCTTTTCCACCCCCCTCCTCCTCCTTCCTTCATACAGGCTTGGCACTGTGGATTTGATAATAGGGTCCCCTTAGTCTCACAGCAGCAGCCAGTTGTCCACTAACAGCAGCGACTCTACTTACAATATTTTTTGTTTGCATGAGGAAATTGGAAGCAAGGTATTTAATGAAAAGAAATGCAGAACAGATTTTCCCATGGTTGCAAATAATAAACTCCAGCAAAGTTTAAATGAGTGACACTGTAGGACAACTGACCAGCGGTAGAGACGTACAGCAGCACAGAGCCACCAAATACACCACTGAAGGAAGACTTCTCACATGTTGGTGTCTCTCTTGTCTTTGTTCGGGGAGGGCTTTGAAGGATCCTTCGCTGCCTTTCCATTGGCAGCGACAGAGGCAGTGGCAGTAGCAGCTGCAGTGTCTGCACTTGCAGCTGCGGCGGTGACGGAGCGTTTTGTTTGCTCCTCGCTGCGGGGCTCTGGGCTTGGCTGTGTGGGCGGGGCCTGCTCGGCCGGTGGCTGGACGGTGAGCTCCTGCAGCTGTTTGTGGCTCTGCAGTAGGCGAAGCTGGACGCGGAGCTCCAAGATAGCTTCCTGCTCCTCGTGGATGGCCTGGTTCAGGTGGGTGTTTTTGTTCTGCAGGAGAACAGCAAAAAACAAACAGCTTCAGAAACCACTGGTCTGTCTCTGACAGCATTTAGAGAGAAAATTGTTGTTTTCTATTGCTCATGTCTATGCTCCTAAAACTTCCTTATAAGGACCAAAACATCTGTGACTCAAGTTCATAAACACAATACTCTGAAGTACACTTACAGACCTAGAAGAATAAGAAGAAGAATAACACAAACTTTAGTCGACCTTTTAAGGACAAAATGAGTAGGACAGGGAAAATACTGAACAACCAGTATGTGAGAAATTTCATTCAAAATCACTGTTATCATAATAATCAATATTAAACAAATGTTATCATACAAAGTAGAATCTCAGTCAAATGTTAAATGACCAGTTCTTTAAATTTGTGCACACAGAAGTTTGAAGAGAATACAAAAAAGTTTGACTATTAGACTAAAATTTCTACCCCTTCTTACTGGTTTTACTTGTATAATTCGACTCTATTATTTACTGGTTAGTACAAGTTTACATCTCTTTTTAATTGTATTTATTTGATGTATACTCTTTATTTTTATTGTATTCTATGTATTTTTTATGACTGTTTTTTATTTATTTAACTGTTTCTAGCTGTTAAGCATGTTAGAATAATTTATTTCTGTACTGCCAGTCTATAATCCGTTTTAATAACCTCTCCATATGAAGGCTTTTTGTTAACTGAAACATATATGTACACACGCCTATTTTCACACAACACATTTTATGCCTCAGACTCCCCTTTGTATTGCTTGATTTTTCTTACAGTTAGAGGGAACCTGAAAATGAAGACTATTATTGCCAAGTACTGCTTCCCTGTATTTGTCGTGCAAACAACAACACTGGACACAAATGTATTCTCACTTCCAGCTCCTCGTTTTGCTTCTGCAGGTCTTCCAGGATCATCTGCAGCTCCTCCTCATCTTCACTCTCACTTTCGCTGTCTGAAGAGTATTCCTCCGTCTCGCTGCGACCCTGCTGCCGACTGACAAACATAATAACGGGTTTACTTGTATTCATATTAGAACATATGAGCCGCATCAGATATTTGCAGTCTTCTCTTACCTCTGAATGTCCGCTATCTCTCCTCGCAGTCTCTCGATTTCTTCCTTCTCAGTGGCAATCTGTCTACGAAGCACCTGCTCAAGAGAGATCAGCTCCTCCTGCTCCGTTAGGATTTCATTTTCCTGAATAATGACAGAAGAATATCAGTTATTACATATCAGAGGGGCACATGTGGAGCTTAGTAAGAGTGGGAGGTAAATGGATTAATTTAAAACAGCCTGACGGTTTTTAGAAACCTGTCCTGGGTAATTATGTCCCTTGAAGCCAATGTTTCTAAACCTTATTTTTTTATTGTATTTGGATGACTCACCTGTGCTAGGAGGAGGTTGATGACTTCCTCTTCATTCTCTGTCATTTCCTCCTTTGAAACATCTTCCTTTGAGAGGCTCGCTATCTCCTGGGCTATCTTACTCTCACACTCCTGAAAGGAAGAAGAACGACAGTGAACCTTTTACTGTCAGTTCAGATAATAACAGAGAGGTGTTAATTCACGTCCGTGGTTGTTTTAGAGGTCATAGTTTCTTGGTTTTGTACTGGTTTGCATCATGTGGCATTGTCTTCTGTATTTTGATCCCATTGATACCATATTAATCACATGCATGCATCACATGCAGATACATCGATTTATAGTACTGAGGCGGCACTTACTTGACGTTTGGCCTCCCTCAGTTTGCGTTTCAGAGCCGTCAGGATTCTCTGAACCTCCCAGAGTCGCTCCTCTTTGGATAAGTCCTTCACCCCGGCCTGCAGGTCTCTGTGCAGGCAGTTCAACAGGAACTCCTAAAACACACACATTTTGTTTTATGTCTCCTGTTTTCATCTTTCTACAACATTTTAAATTGAGAACAACAGTCTGACAAACTTCAAACATACATCAGTGAAACCTGTGATCCATGCATAATGTGTACAAAATAAATACAGGTGCAGAATCAGTTCAAGGGAAAAGATACACACTCTTAATTAAAGGAAGAATATGCATTGTTTTTGAATGCAAACATCGTAATTCACACGAGTCATTTCTAATGAAAGAGGAGACAGCACTGACAAAAAGTTGTAAAGAAAAGTTGAAGATGTCTGCACCAGGTTTAGTGACACCAGTACGTTGTTTATTTGCAGTGTGATAAATATAATAGCATATTAAAAAGAAGACAGGAACTTCAAGCACATTGTGACAAAAAGAAAATGAAGTTCTGGGACACTCAAACAACGCTGAAAGACAACAGCTAACAACTCCTGCTTTATCACCAAGTGTCAAAGTGTGAATCCTTTCCATTTAATTAAAACAATATGCTTTGTCATAAACTGATACAAAAAAAGAGAGAATAGGAATCCAAATAATTTAAAAAAAACTAAGAATCAGCACCTGTAAACCCTAACTGGTTACATTTGGACAGTTTGATTCACATAAAATACACAGTTAATACATCTTTAGTTTTAATGAGTTATGTGCAGGACTATTGTCTTTTGTCTGGCTCCATCTTCACATTGAAAGAGTCAATATAAGAATGTAATCTCACATCAATAAATAGAGTAAGCAGATTTGTATTCCTTTGATTTTTCTTTGATAAATTCTGTCAATACATTCATTGACTGAACTGAACCCGCTGTCTGCAGTGGGACTGGACTCACCTGTCGTCTGATCTCCTCTTTGATGCTCTCGGCCGTCTCGGGCAGCGCTGGCATCGTTGCCATGTTGGACCAGCGGAGCGGCCGCACCACCTGCTTCAGGACCACGTCGCCAAACAGCTCCTTCACGTGTGTGAAGAACATGTAGAGTACCCGGTTCCCGATCTAAACAGGAGGGAAACATTTTGGTGAACACAAAGACTGCAGCTGTCGGTGTACATGATGTAGTGTCTGCTTTATGAAGGAGTATGGAGTACAAATATTAACTGCCTTTGTGCCACTTTCAGCACAAAACAAATTCCTGCATGTTTACTCAGCCTGATTAAAGTGACCCCCGGCTCCACTCCATTAATTGAAGAAAGTGTTTATTTAACAGTGTTCGGGCTACTGCTGTTGTAGACTCAGAAAAGTGGAGCAGCCGCAGAAACGCCCCCTTTGGGAACGAACGGATTTCACTAAACTGGGCCAGGGTTTCAGAGATGAACCGACTGTTTGATCCAATGAAGTCTTGGCTGGTTTGTTGCTAAGGGGATGTTTCTTATCTTTGAGGTACACTCGATCGTGAGCCTATTTTTCTATTAAGAGGAATAGTCTCCCGCTCACTGCTGTTTGCTTTATCTTTTTTACCAGTGCAGTTCTTGTGTTATCTTTATTCACATTTTACTTCTGATGCTTCTTCTCTGACCTGTATTGTCGGGTTGAGGACGATGGAGATGTTCTGAATATTCATCTTGGTGTCCGCCTCCCTGACGATGACGTGGTCCATGTGGGTGACGAGCCAGGAGAGAACAAGTCGACTCTCTGCCGGCACCTCGGCCAGCAGCCTCTGGAACTCCGTCACCTTCTCGGCCTCCACCTGCCGACCGCAGGCATCCTCGAAGCGCTGGGCCATATCCCGGCCGAGCAGGTTCTCCGGCAGCTCTCGGAGGTACTGCTTCAGAAGGCTGGCAACCGTGTGGGGGTCGTACTCCTCCAGGCAGGGGCACTCCTCGCGATCGTACGCTGCTTTCAACTCGTCCACCTTTGACTTCATACCTGAGAGGGTAAGAAGTTGTTTAATCGAGAATGAAAATACAAAAGATACACACGTGAACTGTTTACATTTTATTTAGTGATGCCAGCGTATCTTCACCTGAGACCCGGTAGATGCCTTCACACTTCATGCCATAATTTTCAATGTAGTCCACACATTCTCTGAAGACGGCTGGCAGTTGGATACCATCATACAGAGCTGTCCTCTTGACTGCTTCAGCCAAAGGGGCTCCAAAGATTGGCCTGAAGGTGGGGATCTCCACTGGGATGGGCTCCGTTTCTGTTGCTGGTTTCTTCTTCTTCTTCTTCTCCTTCCACTGCTTGACCACGTCTGCAGCGGTCAGGTCCTTGGATTTCTTATCCTTTGCCTTCTCCTCCTTAGGGCCCTTCTCCTTGACTTTGAAGTCCTTCTCTTTCTTCTTGGAGAAGCTGGGCTTCTTGAACACGTGGATTCCTTTGGAGCGCTTCATCTTGGACGGGCTCTCTGCTTCGTCGGCTGAACTGTCCTCCTGGAAGGCCGCGTAGCCCTCCGCTGTGAGAGTAAAGAAAGAGTAGGATCAAGCAGAAATAGGGTTATACAGCTGTAACTGAAACAGCCCTGTTTTCTTTATCCTACCTCCTCCTACGACAGAATCATAATAGGAGTGAAATAGAAAAAGGAAGGGATGTGTGAGGGAGAGAAGACAGCAAAGGAGGAGGAGAACGGGGACTTAGAAAAGAGGTCAGCCACCGATTTAGCATCACTCCCACTGCACCTTACACATCCCCTCTCAAGCAGAGCCTCAATTAAGATATTCCTGGTCTGTGCAAACAGCTACGACATGGACAGAAAGACAGTTAAGTGTCCTCTTTGCAGCTTTGTCTCCTTTAACTATCTTTACTCTAGGTTACCCCTCATGTATATATTACACTGCTGCCTGAGACACACCTTATCAAAGCTCTCTGGGTGTGCTCTGAAACTGTCCATCTCTTCCTCTCACCCACTATATCCTTGCGTAAAAAGCTAAATACAGACATGGAAAAAGCTGATACAATGTGGACAATGAGCCTGACAACTGCTCAGTGACAAATGCTCTCTGTACAGGAACATTTCTCACTGCTGCAGGCAGCAGCAGCAGCCCAGCGGATGGAAAAGTATGACGCCCTTTTCTATCTCTTTATTCCTAATATTCTACTGTGGAGAACTTCAGTAACTTGAAATGGTTATTCAGTTCTTATCTGCGATAAAGCCAAAGCTTTGTGACCTGAGGTAGCTGATTTTATGATCTCACTTCTTCATGTATGTGTGCATCATGTATGAAAATGAAAAAATCAGGCTGGACCTGACAAAGCATGTGAGAAAAGTATTTGTCCTTAAAGGTGTAACTTCTCATTTGATTAACAGCTCGTAGATGACGTATGAGGATGTTAATATTCTACATAAGGTGTGGGAGTTGCCGGGTAACTCACAGGGATTTTATAAGAAAATGGTTTATTGATACATCAGGATATCTGATGAGCTGAAGAATTTAAAAAGCTAAAGTGTAGGGTTCATGTATTTATTCACTGCTATTTGGTGTCAGTCTCTCCTCTTATTGAGCAGATCATAGCTTTTTTTCACTGCCGTCTGATATTATCCTGAAGTTTTTTTCTTTATTTATCTCTGTCAGCTTCCTATTTGGCCAATTCAATTCCTTTCACGTTACCCTCGTTCATGTCTTGAGCGCCACTGTCAGGTGGAATTTTTCAAATTCAAATATTTTAAATATCATGTTGCTTTAATCTTTAACTTTTAACTATGTAAGGTGTCTTTGAGTACCTGAAAACACTTCATCAATAAAATGTATTATTATTTAAATATGGATATTTGTCCTCAGAGTTTTGATATGCAAGAAATCTCATGATATTAGATTTCTCCTATAATGTCGGAGCCCCAAAGGAGCTCTGAGAACACAGTTGAAACACATCAATAAACACAAACCTTAATAATGAACTCTTTTAAGCTCCTCAGTAAAAACGACTTCTTGTGATGCTGCACAATCTAACAAAGACAAAGGGCTTTGCTTTCCCTTTGTTCATAATTACAGTAATATAATATAATGAAGGGGCTATGAAAGAACACTTCACTGTAAGAATGCAGCACAAACAAATATTTAGTAGAATAATCAATATATGAGAGAGTGAGGATGAAGCATAATTATTCAACACGCTGTAGGTAGTGAAATAAACACTGTCCAGAGTTGTTGAGATCAACAAAATGTGAAAAGGATCCACAACACTGTGCAAAGACATTCTTGTGAATCTGTTATTCTGAACAGTATACTGTAACACAAACTGAGGGAGGAAATGAAGGAACCGTTTCTTACTCCTTTTCTCCTTCTTCTTGAACTTGTTCTTCTTCTTGCCGTGCTCTTTGTCGTCGTCTGACACGTAGGCATCAGGGGGCTCGTGATGATGGCCATCGTGAGGCGGTGACGGCTCCCCAGTGCGGTACAAGCCGGGGAACTTGGTGGGACTGATCTCCTCAGAGCTCGGGGTGCGGGCCACTCCCCCTGGGTGCTCAGCCCTGCGCTGCTCTGTGGGGCTGCTGCTGGGGGGCAGGAAGCACTCGGTCATGGCTGCTGCGGCCTTTTTACTCCTCTGACTGGCACATCACGTCTCCATCACACCTGCAGAGGGCAGAAATATACAAACGTAACGCCACACAACCTTGTTTTCCTTTATCTTGATTAAGAAACAGTTCAAACATTCACACAGACTTTTCCATGTATCCTTTGCCCCGGTATCTGCTCTTTATGTAACAGGCAGTGAACAGGTCTGACACATTTTATTTTGGTAATACTTGTGTTTGTAGACTTTCACTCACACAGACAAGTTCAAGTATAAAATATTTATATGACCATTTTACAACACTGGATTCTAAAATACAATTTAAAGATTTTAAACTTCAGTAGAATTAATTCACAGTTGTTTGGGATGTTTTTGGTGCACAGAAAACTAAGCTGTTTCCCTTTCCTGCTTCATGTTCTGATTTTTCAGATTATTTAACTGCTGACTGTACAAACTGAACAACTGCAACAATAATGTCCTCCCACAAGATGGGGCTCTGCTATATGAACAATCACATCCACGATGTTCTGCCTCCAACATTTTACATCTGCACACAACAAAACTGCAGGTCACTTTATCAACCATAAAAACGTTGATTCTGCAGCTAAAACAACTCTAATTACTGTATTCAAGTTGTTTTATTATTATCTCTAGATCTGGACAGTGTTTTTAAACATCAGAGTAACTAACTATACTAAAACTATTATTTATGGTTTATTGGTTTATTGGTACCCGATGCAGACTCTCAGCTGTGAACTTTGCTTTTTTACTTCCATCCATTTGCCATGCACCTTAACTGCCTCTGCTTTATCTGGTCTCACTTTATTCTATCCTTTCTCAGTATTCATACAGTTCTGGTTACTTTATTCTGTTTCTTATCCATCATTGCACTATGGTCACTTTATTTATCTAATTTTTACCTTACAGTTATATTGTATATATTAGTTCTGTTGTTCCATTATTCACCATACACCTTAATAACTTATCATTTAGTATTTGCCTACTTGCACATAGCTCTGTATATGTATATTTATATTTCTCGTTTACTGCACATAGTTCTGTTTACATCTGGTCACTACTGCAAATAGTACTGTGTATATATATATATATATATATATATATATATATATATTCATTTCTCGTTTACTGCACATAGTTCTGGTTACATCTGTTTACATCTGTTAGTCCGATCACAGTCCACTTATATCTACTCTTTTTATATTTTGTATTTTTAAGTTAAGTTTAAGTTGTATTTAAATTGACACTTTCTATTTAGGTTAAAATGTTTTGTTTACTTGCACTGTTGTTAATTTACTGCTCTGTGTGTCTTTGAATTGCCCCCCGGGGACAAATAAAGTTTTTTGAATTGAATTGAATTAAATGAAGTTTAGCCTGGAGCAGCTCAGACATCATGTTGTTCATATTTTGGGAGGTAGATTCATAATCTCAGTAAATATGCTGTGTACTTAAATGAATTTAACAATCCACCATCCTAAGATTTAAATCAAAACCATATCAGGTTGAGGATCTCCTGTTTACTTATTAATATTATACTATATATACTATAACTGTTAATAATGTAAACAAACAGTGGATGTCTGCAGTGGTTAATGTGGTGCTTTGCAAATTTCGCAGAAAGTAAATGTTGCAGTAGCAGAAAAAACAGATGTGATTAACTCTGTAACACAACAGATACTACTGCTTTAACTGTCTAAATTAACCTCTGAACAGAAAGTCTCTGAATAAATCCTGTTTCTCTGTCTGACATCTTAATCTTGAGTCGCTGAGAGCAGATTATCTTCACTGTTTTCTTTCCTTTTCCTGATTCCAGAAGGAAAATAACCCTTCACACCTCACCAACTCGATGTTAGAGACACCACAGTCAGTGTGTGCACCAATAACATGTGCGCATATTCACATTAAGAACAGTAAAAAACAATAAAATCAGCTTTTCCTCTGAATGGAGGGGCCCATATGCTAACGTTAGATCAGCTAGCTGCCAACCTGCTAAACTAGCTGGTTAGCCTTTCCGTTGTTATTTAAGCCTCTGTTTCGTACAGGCGACACTAATATAAAATATATAGTTAGCTCCGAGTACTGAACTCTCTTTCGCACCTATTGTATTGTCGTTAAGTTAACAAAACACAAAAGATAACAAACTTTACCAAGTACTATCCCGTTCGGTCAATTTCTGAGTAGAGCTTCCGGATATCTGTATACTAAATAAACCTATCTGCGCGTGTGCGGTACCCGTAGTGCATGATGGGAAATGTAGTTCGCTTCAAGTTACCGCAAATGTATAGTCTATGTAGGTTTTTCCTCGCCCAGAATGATCTGGAGTTAATGTAAATTGTTTTGACTGTGGTATCATCTTGTTCTTAGCCACAAGTTTGAAGTTCTACAAGAGAACCTGTCAAACAAGGTTTGGAAAAGTGACTATAATCTAAATTTGTTGAAACCACTTGCTATTCTGAATCATATGTACTTTTTCCAAAAGTGCGTGGTTGAACAGAGAGCGCTGGTGGTCATTCTCACATATGAAACACATTAGTCCTCTGATCTTTGTAGGCACCGTCTGCTCCTAGCCCACAGCTGCAATGGCAAAATGAGGTCATGATTCAATATTGTAAAAAGAAAAAGACAAACAAGCTCTCATTGTGAGTCTGGTTGCATTAGTCTATTGCAAACTGCTGTTGCATGCCAATTGGGAACAGAATCAGTGATAGGGCACCCTGCTGCCTTTTGAAAAAGCACTGGCACCACAAAGAGCATTTGTGTGTGGCAGTGAGAGATTGGCATCGGTAAATGTTCCCTTTCCCCTTCGCTTGCATGAGATGGTCAGTGAGCACTGAACACCTGTGGACCAGAATGGTATAATAACAACTTTGTTTCCCCAGGAAATGATGCGTTTCCTGACTGGGGCAACACAAGGCTAAGATTAGAGCAGGAGACAAGCAACTAGAAGGACAAACATTTACTATTCCACTCGTGCTGTGAAAAAGTAGCAAAAGGAAGAAAATATATATAAAATTCAGACACAACACAATCCATGTCACCAAACTTTTCTTTATTTGGCAACAAGACAGATTTAGCCAACCATAATTGTAAAAATACATTATTCATATACACCTCTAGTAAAAAACACTATTGAAAACATATCTAAAAATATACAGTGAAACAAACAGCAGAATAAAAACAATTTGCAGGGGTAGGAGGCGGGGTAAGGAGGGGGTATTTTACAAGGTAAGTGAGGAATGCTAACACATAACAGTCATAGTTTCCTCTCAGAGCCCTCAGTCCTCTGGTTAGGCCCAGACATTAGGTACCAATATGTGCCCGCACTTCAGAAGAGACAGTTCATGCACTTCACGGCCTTGCTGCCGTAGTCCACACACTCAGGTCCAATGCACTGGCAGCAGGCATTGTGAAACCAGCGGTACTTGGATCCTCCCATTGACTCACAGTACAGTTTACACTGACGAATAGACACACAGTCGTCAAAGTAGACCACAGTGCACATGCCATCTGAAATCAAAAAGGACAGAAGAAGAAAAAGACGTGAGTCACAAACCCAGTACATGTGGTTTATAAAAACAAGCACCATTCTAGAGCAATTACTTTTAACCCTCGGCGTTCCTACTTTTACTTCAGGGGTGAAATTTATTTGCAGCAGCTAAGTATGACCATATGTGAGGGTGAGCTTAATGAGTTAACTGCTTGGCTCTGTGGTTACGCTCTTATGAGTGTGTGTCTTTATAGCAAATAGCACCAAATGAAGAGAGATCAACAACCAAAACAGTCACACACAAAAAAAAAAGGGAGAAGAAAAAACACTTCTGACCCAGTTTGATTCCATGAACTGTAAGTCTTTGGCAGCTCTGTCCCCTGTGAAACACTGCGAACGTGACCCAGCCCGAACCGGTCTTAATACAAGACTTTGTAGTTTACCTCAGTGCTGGGCCTGGTCTGATTTTATTACCACGGTTCTTAGTGAGTGTGAAAGCGTACAAATGAAGAATGTGACTGGACCTCACAGGGCCAGAGAAATATGTAACAATGAAGCATAAAAGTGTGCTTTTATTTCCTCAAGAAGAGTAAGTTATTCAGAAAGTTAAAGATGTGACATCTTTACAATGTGAGGCTGGATGTTTTCAAATTGCAAGTGACTAATAACATTACACTGACTTACAGCTTGTTCTAAACAACTGCAGCCAGCAGCTACGTGTTGGCTATCATTCTGCTACAGTAGAATTATGTTTTAGTTAAAGCCATCACAGTTCTTCAAAGTTGAAGCAGAGTAATAGTTTTAATACTCAAAGATAAAGAGACTCAGTTTATGATGATAGAAGTAGGGAAAAGCTGCTTATTCTCATAAGAAAAATGTTTTATGCTTGATAATTTACCTCAATGATTGACTTTATGGTTCTTTAAAGCCACCCTCATGACTCATCAGAGCTTTGGGCAGAATTTATTCAAAAGGTTAATGTACAGTAGTTATGGTTAGAGGAGGAAGTTGTACATCTAGCTAAAGTACTTATTCTGCAGCAGTATTTATCCTGTTATATTACTGAATATTATTACATTATAGAATCACTGATTCAAAAACATGTATGACGCTTTTGAAGTTGCTGTAGCTTGTCAACATGCAGCCAAATCTCATAGACAACCTCTGTAGTTTAGACATTTAGCCAGTAGTCAGCAATATCTTTTTTAAGACATCAAGGTTTCACATGTCATGAATGGGGTTTTTAAATAAATAATAACTTAGAAAAGAGGGAATCCCAAATGCAAAAAAAAAAAATCAGAAATACAGTTGTTGGTTTTGGACCTTGTTCAGCAGCACGTAATGATTTCTATTCATGAACTTAACGCAAACATCTGAATGTCATCACAACGACTCTACAGAAATCTTTTCCTACCAGCCATCTAGTAAAATTTCAGCATGAAGTCTGGGTGCGGCGAAGTGAGAACACAGCAGGAAATATTCAGGGAGTCGGTGGCGGCGATGACGTATCTATCCCGAGTTTGATACTCTGCACTGCTGATGAGTATGTTCTTTTCAACATCCAACTACATGGAGCATTGATAAAAAGACAAAAACTGTCATGGCTTCGTCCACCCTATCTCCATTTTCCTCTATACATCATGTTTTGCCTCAGAGGACACACTCCGGGTTCCCAACCCAAGTCCCTACAGACTGCACTACTGCCGCCCCCATATGTACATATGTGTAGAGGTAAGTCTGTAAGATTTCAGGGGCAGCATGTCCTGAAATTTTCTAGAGATTTTCATGAGTCCATTTATGGTCTAAAGTAGCTTTAATTGGAAATACAGTAGTTAAGCACGCGTACTGTAAGTAGAGATTCTAAAGCAAATACTCTGCAGTTAGGATGGATATGATTTGGATTAAAGAAGTAAGTGAGAAGTGAACTTTAATAATCCTTCACAGTTCAAACATTACCTTGATTGTCGTAGCTGGCGTGGATGCTGTTTCCAGGCACAGAGACGTTCTGGTGCGTGCTGTCCAGCGTCTCCAGGAAGGACACCAGGTTCTCGTGGTGGGAGAGCTCCTCTGCAACGGGGAAGGAGACCACCATCATGTTGATCGGCGCTTCGCCCTCCGTGAGGGCGCGGAACAGCGAGGGGATTGGACGATGCAGCTCCTCCACGGTGCTCTTCGACGTGGCTGGAGAGTCGCTGTAGTTCTTGGGGTTACACATCCCTGTTGTAGAAAAGAAATGGATGAATAAGAAAAAGGGTAAGTTCACAAAAATGACAAAATGATTCATCTTTCTTTGGCCGTGAAGGAGTGGCGTATTTATCTCTTTATTCTGACATTACTGAAAACATTTTAAGGTTATTCTCAAGTATATTAACTCAACTTCTGCACAAAAGTCTAGTTTTAGATACTTAATTTCAGCATTTCAATTTTATACAACTGGACATTTCAACCTCACTACATTTATCTGACAGCTTCAGAAATTATTTTGATGTTACCATGGATACCCACATTTATTCTGATTGTGTGCGATAAATAATGGTTAAAATGTTCTCTATTTATGGATTTAGACATTTCTACCATCTTTTTTTTGTTATGATGTTGTTTACTGTTTTTAATTACTGATTGTTTTTTAAATGTTGTTTTTATTAAGGGTTACCCCCCTCCCCCTTTCAGAAAAGAGCACTGTCATCACTTTGTCAGTCATGTCTTGAGCTGTCAATAGTGTGTGTAGAATGAGGCGTTCAGGTCAGGGTCATCTGATCAAATTTCCCCAGAGCAGAAACTCAACCGTCTGTGGACTTTTTTTTTTTTTTTAAATAACATTTCTTGGCTTATGGACGGCCAATAGAAAACTTTAAAGGACACTAGACAATTACAGGAACCTGCTAAATCACTTAAAACTGTGCTAAACAACCAAACACTTCACAAACTCCAGGGAATTGTTGCTCTTGTTCATATATTCAGAGAATTCTACAGTAAACACTCATTCACATTTTCTTGTAATTAAAGCTCCTATTAGGAACCTTCTCTTTTCTCATTTTGTCCTGCACTTGCAAGTATTTTTAATCACCAAAATAAATCTAATCCTTCTTTCTTTGAGCAGTGAAATGTGTCACTCATTGAGACTTTGTGCAGTGGAAAAAAAGATTGTCTGGTAGCGCATGTTGAACCACTTCGCCTGAGAGCTACCCTGCGGCAGCTTTTTCAACCTTTAATAAAACAATACAGAAATAATCAATTCTTTTTCAATAATGGTGTCATTTCCTTTAATATGTCACTGAATTATCAATATTAGTTTCAGTCTGTTTCATGACCAGTTAAAAACTCCTCACAGGAGCTTTAACTCTCTTTAATTAGTATCTGTTTGTTGTTACCGAGCTTTGTGTCTACTTCCATGTCACATAGTTCTGGTGCAGATTTATTGAGGTTATTGGTTTTAAATTTAGGTTATTGATTTTTGCACTTATTTAGATATAAATGTAGGTGCAGGAGCTCTTTATCTATGATGCAGACTTGACTGCAGAAATGTCATCGATATTCTAAAAGATTGTCTAAAAACTTGGGCTGGAAAACTGACATTTACTGCATGTTTAGTCACCACTTAAGGGACATTAAGTTGAAGTTATTTTTGGCTGGACTGACCCTTTATAATGAAAAACAAGAGGAAGGGAGATCAGCGGTAAATCTTACTTTTTCTCCCAATACACCCGTTCAACAGATAAATGGCTTCACACACGCTTTCAACTCACAAGAGCAATTTAGTAAAACCACACTGCTGTCAACAGTATCATGTCCCAATTAAGATCCTCTGAACACTTCATTTCATTTCCAAATACGGTAGTAATCGCTCGACAAAGGCCTCACGTCCTCAGATAGGATCTTTCTAACCCTTTTAATGAGTCAAAGTGAATTACAGCTAATGGCCAAATCATTTAATGGGGACCGGAGTTTGACAGAGGAATAGGATTACAGAGCGACGCTCAGAGCAGAGCCGGAGCAGCTGTTTTAGATAAAGTGTACACATGGGTCCTCCTCCTCCTCCTTCTCCTCCTTCTCCTTCTCCTCCTCCTCCTCCTCCTCCTCCCTAAAATACAAACTGTCCTCCGCTGGGCTGCTCTAACCACTCGCAGATACACACTTCAAAGCAGCCTGCATTTGGCGTGGATAACATGTTTAGAGTGGAAACTTACTCAAAGTGGTGCTCTGAGAAAAAAGAAAAAACATTTGAATGAGAAATATATACTCGCTTAAAGCTACAGGCTGTCATCGGTGTGTTGTAAAAGGTCTGTCCAGGAGGGGAAACTCCAACACCACCACCACAACATCTGTGCAGCAGCAGCAGCAGCAAGTTCAGCACTCAGTGTCACATACTTGTACCCGTGTTCCACATGAAAGACCTTTAATAATAACGCCTTCTTGTCAGTACACACAGCAATATCTGTCCGTCAAGGCTGACCAGAGAGCATGCTGGTTAGAGGGACAGAACCAGAGGGGAGTCAAAGGTACCAGGCCCAACTTTTTCTCTTTCATCATTTATCCTCCTGTGTGTTAAACTGCACCATTTTAACTTAAGCCGATAGCATGGTGCTTAATGCTCCATCTTACAGCTCGTTTTCTCGTTCAGTTTTCCTTTTATGTCTTTGTGTCCACTTCTTTGTCCTCAGTGTAGGTTTTTATTTTTGAGTATTTGCTGCTGTAGCTTTAACTCGATCTCATTTCTAGAGCTGGAAATCTCCACAGGTACGTTTATATCACGTAACTCTGCAGCGTCTTTAGTGTGTTTAGATGTTTGGCGTTTAGTTGATGCAGGTTTCTTGTGTTTAAGGCTGATTTCAGGAAAGACAGAAATATGGAGTTTTCTTTTTGCCTCCATTAATACATCTTCTAGACTCTGTTTGTACAGCTCAGAGAGATGAGTCTGCTCAGTCCACCACCCAATTGTGTTAGTATCATGGATGGGTTTCTGAACAGGCTTATTAAGTGCTAGACCAAGACGGTGCTGGACCAGAGTGTATGAATCTTTGTATGAAATGACTGATGGATTTTTCCAACAAGAAATGTTCACAAACGACCACAAAGAGATGCTTAGCAACCACAAAAACGCTTCGCAAAACCAAACACAAAATGTCTACAAGAAGATATTGAAATAAATTGTCTTAAATACTAAAATATGCAACCATCACCAAGACCACTAAAACTGAAAACGGAAATTACCACAAAAAAACGACAAAAAAACGAATGCAGGGCGACTAGAAACAACCATAAAAGGATGCAATGGAGCCACATAGATATGTAGAAAACCATGCAAAATGATTTATATCAGGTAGCCTAGTGGTTAGTGTGTGCGCCCCATTTAAGGAGGCTATAGTCCTTCAAGCGGGCGGCCCAGGTTCAAATCCAACCTGTGGCTCCTTTCCCGCATGTCAATCCCCACTCTCTCTCTCTCCCTGATTTCCGCCTATATCCACTGTCCTATCTCTAGAAAAGGTACAAGCCCAAAAGTAAATCTAAAAATTTATGAATTATATCAAATCTAAAATCACCAGACACAAACTTACATGCAAAACATCAAGAAACAACACTAAAAGAAAATGATTTCCACCCAACCACATAAAGAGAAGTAGATCAAAAAACAACAACATGCAAAATAGACTTCATGATTAAAAAATGACTCTGCCGAGCAGCAAAACAAAGAAGCAGAAGGAAGCATGTTACGTCTGTGTACTGAGGGAACCAGGTCATAAATATAAAGCCATATTTTGTCATTTTGCTCCCAGTCTTAAGGACCTCGACACTGCTGGTTAAAAGCTGGAAACACGTGAAGAGAGGGTTTAACAAGCCAAATTATTTGGCTTCACAAATCTGCTTGTTTTGGATTTACACCCCCGCCCCCTCCTCCCTGATAGGAGTCTGAAAGTCAAAGTTGGTTTGCGCGGGTCGACCTCATCGTCCTCGCTCTCTTCCGGCTTCTTCATCCTTTGATCTTCATGAAAACCGAGACTTCCTGTCCACATGTGAATGTTCTCCTTAGTAGTGTTGATACTGCTTTAATTTCCTCTGCTCTGATTCACGGAGGCCCTGATGGCTCTGCTTCACATTAACCTCCACACTGTCACTTCTCAGAGGCACCTTCAGTATCTGGCTTCACTCACCGCACACTCATCCTGTATCAGAGCTCAAACACTCCCTACAAACTGCTTCCTTGTGCACGGCGGTCACAGTCTCAGATTTCAGAGGATTTTTAGAGGGAGAAAGTGTTCTCCAGCAGGGCGACTGAGATTAACGAGACTGAGACATAACTGAAGTGTCACATGTTAGGAGATTAGTGCCAGCGTTATTATAAATATGGAACAATCAAAGTTGGATCGAAGGTTTTTTGACTGAAGTGTGAAGCACTTTGAGTGGTCAAAGGTGCCATAAAAGTGCAGCCCATGTTACCAAGTGTACAAGGTTTTAGTAAACGCTGACCTTAAGCCCTTTTCACACATGCTAAAAAACTCCAGAGATTTCCAGAAATGTTCAGGGTGAGCTGTTTGAGTGACAGCTGAATTTTTCACCATGCGACTTTTACCAGATTTTTTCCAAACCAGCCGAGAACAATTTCTCCAAGATGTCAGGGGGGCCAGCTGTGTGAAAACAGCAGGCAACATCAGAGGGGAAATCCAGCTTGAGCAAGTGGGCTGGGTTGATGCTAGAGAGAGTTTGGATCTTATGACTGCTGCTAACCGGTGCAATATTTGAGCACATAATAAAGCTGCTTGTATTTATTTATTTTTGCTCGCCAGTTTGTTCTTTTCCCCTCTTCACAAAGTTAATGGATTTAAAGTATTTGTTAAAAAACAAACGACAGCAGAATCCAGTTAAGTCTATAATGTAGGACTAACAGAGGAAACTGAACCCTCAAGTCAGAGAAAATGTCATCTTTAATTCTACACAGTTGTTTTTAGCTTGAATTGCTTCTTACATGAGTCATTCTTTTAATGCAGCAGTCTCCTCTAACTCTGACAAATGGACATTCATAAAGCTCTGATCTTTTCTGTTCAGCAGTCATCACCAGCTTGTCTCAACCCGCCAACTACATTTCAGATCACAACGCTACAACAGTTGTAGTTTAAGTCTTAAATAATATGCTGTTGGCTGTAAGATATATGTAGCTAATAGATGACGCTGTACTCACCCACGCAGTCGCAGCACTCTTCCCAAAGGTTCCCCAGACATAGCATGCACTCTTTACAGCACGAGCAGTTCCCGTCAGACGGACGACACTGACACAGCTCCTGAAGGACACACACATCAGCAAACATCAGCAAAACATGAAAACACTACAGATGTGTCCGCAGTATTTTACTAGCTGAGGAGGAAGATCCTAATGAGTTAGTTTCACTTCATCACTGTGAGATTAAAGGAGCAATTCTAATTTCCTTGTTTTTTTTTAACATTGTTGTTATTGATCTGTATTTTAACAATCAGTGTGCAAATATACAACCACATAAATAGGGCGGCTTAAGTTACTGAGTTATTTCTGATTGTTATTTCTAACTTGGAACATTACTGCAGCGCAAAAAAATGTTCTGAGGGTCCATATCCGGTACAACAGATCTGAGTGCAGAAGCAACATAAGAGTTAAACATCACAGAGCGAACACAACCCAACGAGCAGGAGACGTACCATTAACACATCAACAGCAGGGCGACAGCAGCTTTTCTTCATGTACACTAACTGTTGCTGAACACAAGCTGTTACAAGTAACCGACACCTGTGGCATTTATCAAAGTATGTTAACTCCATCTGAACAATATGGTGATAACTCTGAGAAATAATCATCTCTGCTGTGTCACCATTAAACAAAAGAGCAGATTCTGACATGTTGGTGTTCACAGTACTCAAATCTTCTTCTCCAGTGGTTTGACGTTGTACATTAAGCCGTCATGACGAGGGGTTGAATGTAGCTGAGTGTATACTCAGGGTAACTCCATGAGATGTGTGCTTTACTTGAGTGTTACAATTGTACGGCATGTAATATTTAATACTTTCACGACGATACGTCCCAAAGGTAACTATTGCCCTTTAAACTCCATTACATTTATCCAAGAGCTCATTTCAAGTGTTGTGTTTGGTGGTGGAAGAAGTATTCTAATTCTTCACTTAAGTAAAAGTATTATTGTACATGTAAGTGTCTTACATAGAAAATTCTACTTAAGTAACTTAATAAAGTTAATTTAACTTGAACCTTGTATTATCAATATAAAAAAGGTGTTTTTAGGACCAAACCGTTCTGGGGAAATTTTTGAAGAGGAACTATCCACTAGGGATCTTCCCTGAGGACAACACACCAAAAGACCAAAAGAGGGCTTATGTCAGATTTGCAACTTAGAATACGACTGTTATCACAACTAAAGGAAGAAGGCGTACAGAGAAAAGTGAGGCAAAATGAAGCTGTCAGCAGAGAGAGTGCTTTCTGCAGCTGGACTTATTGTGAATAGACTGAGCACATGACTCAGCCCTGATCAAGTAGAGGCATCACTTTATTTACAGCCTGTTTCATAGCTAGATAAAAAAAACTCCCCACAGGAGCTCTAACTGAATGGATTTGCCCCATTGTCACTGACACTCAGTCAAGCTTTTCAAATATATAGTATTAGAATCATTTTATTTGCATCCTAACAAATCTCTACTTACAATCCTAGACCAAGTCTCTGAATACAAGCCTAAATACTAAGCATATCATTTAAACATATTCAGTTACGTATACAACCTGAAAGCCAACCAATGAGGCAAAGGTGCAAATAAAACCGGAATAAAAAAGGTCATTTTAAAAGATAAATCATTGCAAAATAGTCTTAAATAGTCTTTTCTACTTAACAATCAATTCAAAAACTTAATTATTTGATAAAGATCTGGTTCTTTGCTTCATCCACAGGCTTGTTTGCAGATAAAAAAAAGCTCTTTGTAAGTCATTCTCATGTTGCTGTAAATAGAAGGGAGGTGAAATTACGACATGAGCTCGTGAAAAAACTAAAACATAAAACCTCTGCTGCTCCCTTAAGTCCTCTACAGACACTTAAAGCGTGAAAAAACAGCTTCATTCTTTAACTCCAGTTTGTCTCCAGGGTGCAGCAGGACGATGAAGGAAACTGAAACGTGTAGGTGGGATTGAAAAGTAGGTGAGAGCTAAGCCAGAGGAGCTCCTCTCTCTCTCCCCCCCCCCCCTCTGTTCTTTCCTGACACAGAACAGGGAGCACATTCCTCTACGTCAAGGTCACCGCGATGAGGGAGGCGGTGGGGTTTGGGGGTGGAGGGGGGAGGCAGAGGTGGGGGGAGAAGAAAACACCTGGAGAACGAAACATGGCCACCTCCCCCCTCCAGCAACACACTTCCCCCCTCTCTCCCTCCCTTTCTCTCCTCTCCTATTATACCCTCCTCCCTCTCTCTTCCCCTTTCTTTACTCTCTCTCTCTCTCTCCTCCCCCCATGCTCCTCCTTTATATCTTTGCAGAAGCCATCTCCTACACGTAAACAGTCCTGGCAATGATAAAAGACTCTCCAGTGAGTCACCAGTGACGGATTGCAAAACCACACACAGTTCACTTCATCACCGGCCTCTCAATCCCCAAAACCTCTGATCAGGATTGATCCCACAAGTAATTATGAGTCTCTGAGGGGAGATTATAAAAAACTAAACTGTTACCCCGGGGGAGGGAACACTTCCATGTCGTACATCATCACAAATAAAAGAAAAGAAAACGGTTTTTTTTTTAAACATTTACATGGAAACTTAAGGTTTTAGCAAACTGGAGCAAGAATGTGGTTAGCGTAGCTTAGCTTAGCAAGATGACTAAACAGGGAGAAACAGCTAGCCTTCTTGAACTTTTATCCCTGGAAAATTCCCGACCGACAGTTTCCGACACTTGATGACAATATAAATACCTCTTGTGTTTTTCCTTAAAATCATGACGCTTGAGCTCGATGGTGATTGGCTTACCATAGCATTCTGATTAAACCAGCAGGGCTAGCTTGTTAAAAACCTCAGGAGGCGTTTAGCATACATACTTTTAACTAAGGGAAACCTCTAAATCTAATCAAATGAACATGAAATAATATAATTTATCAACCTGTGTACAGACACAGCGATGTGTGAAAGCTTGCTTATTACACAGCTGTGGTAAATACTGGATTCTGATCTACACTTAGCGACAGTCTGCTATACCTTGATAGCAGATCATTGCTAAGAAAAACTAACAGCTACCTAGAAAAGACAACACTTGCCAGGCTCTAATCACAGACTCTGGAGGATTAATTGTAGTCATATCCATCCACAGAAAGCAGTCCGGTTAATTTGACGTTGGTCTGTTCATTGTGGGGAAAATACAACCAATGAAGGAAAAAGAATTCTGGCTACGACAAAGAAATCTATCAAATGAAAATGGCGCACTAGGTTAAAGAGTCCTAATCAGAAAACTGATTTGTGTAAAAATTGAGATTCTTATCTTCTGAGATTTTAAATAGATTCATAATTTTTGGGGGCTAATCAGTCACTCCCTGCTAAGTGCTAAGGCTAGCTCTTTAACTCAGTAGAATGACAAATAGAGCTTGTCTTGTCTCACTTTATATTATCCCTTACATTCACTTGACTTTATTTTTATGTTTGTTTAAGATTTATTGTTGGGCTTTTTTATGACTCTATGGACAGTGAATAGAGTCATAAACCAGGGAACTATGGAGTGGGGAACAACATGCTGGAAAGGAGCCACAGGTCAGTCTTGAACCTGGGCTGCCCGCTAAGGACTTAAACCTCTGTACACGGGGCGTGTGCACCAACCACTAGACCACTGGCGCCCTGAAACATTTTCTTTTAAAGTGACTCAAAGTTTCTCCTACTTGACGGTAAATTGAAAACCCTTGAGATTTAAAAACAGCTTTGAGAAGACGTCACTCTTCTGACATTTTGCAAAGTAAACAATCATAAAACCGATCCTGATTAATCCTAAAAAAGAATCTGCAGCTTCCTATCCTCTAACAACTTCCCGACTAACTAGAGGAGGGCTTGCAGGGGCTTTATTAGGCTTGTTCTGCCTTTTAGAGGATCCTGTAATCAGTGAAAACTCTGCTGCAGCGAGACAAAAGGAGAGAAAGTGAACCCGCTGCCTCGTCCTGCTGCTGTGCGTTAACTTTGAAATCTCCTGCCCCGCCCTGCTAAACAGCCTGCTCTGCACACAGTTGTGGCTTGTGATTCAATCCCAACTGTATATTTCTCTTGACCAACGTCCCCCCACAGACACACACACCTCCTCCTGACCTCAGCCTCCCCTCTCATGTTCTCCCACCCTCAGGGGTTTTGGGGAATTTTAGACAAATGACTTGAGACTGCAACAGAGCGTGAAAGCGAGCGTAAGGCAGCAGATCTCACTAATCACCGACAACATGGAGCTTCCTCAGAGCTGCTAGAGGCGGTGAAGTTTCTCCTTGACGGCACACGCACCTTCGCTCTCGCCTCTGACAGCTAGCGAGTTGGTGTCGGCGAGGTCCCGGAAGCTACAGAGCTTTTGTTGTCCCGAGAAATGATTCATCCGGAGCAATAAGCCACCTGGAAGTAAAAAGGAACAAGCGCAGCCAAAAGACTGCTGCTGATTGCACAAGGGCTGGATGTTAACAGAATCTGAACCCAGGAGGAGGAGGAGGAGGAGGAGGAGAAGTTTGTGGTCTGGTAGCAACAAGTTTCTGCCAAAAAATTCAAATAATATAATGTTGAAAAGGAAGAGCACCTAGGGACTTATTTACTGTGGAGAAAAAGACTTTTAAATCAGAAACAAACTTGTTTGGTGTTGAACTAATGTGCAGAACAGGCGGGTTGAAAACATGGAAAGTGCAAATAAGGGCGCACTCACACTAGGCAATCCGTACCGTGCCTGTGAAAGCAAATCACAGTAATAAACTTTCTTTTGACAAGTACCTCATACAACCCCACAAAGAAAAAGGAACAACCCCTTTAAGAGAAAGTTGCATTTAGTTTAAAGGCTTTATATGCAATTTTTCACACTTAAATGTAATAGAAATCAAGTATATCCTCTGAAAATAACTCTGTGAGTCATGACTGTCTACAATGGGTGTAACACCCAAGTCCCACTGTCTGTGATGTTTTCAGAGTCCTATCTTCAGTTTGTTTACATCGCCGGGACGGCCGGCTGACTCCTCCCCTCGTGTATAAAAGTTGTTTAATTGAGGGACTAGAGAAAAGAAGAATAACATACTGTACTCACTGCTTAACTGTGTTTCTAGATCACGCTCATTTCAGGTAAATTTACATGCAGTGTGAAGATACGAGCATAATAAAGATCGCTAGCATTAGCATGCTAACACAACAATGCAGCGCGAGTTGTTTTGGTTTCATGCTGGTGCTCAAGGGCGACATCTGCTGGATCAAAAAAAAATAATAATAATCGCATATAAAGCAGTAGTATTTTTAGTATTAAATACTAAAAAGGTATGTTGTCTAGTTTGTTTAATTACAAATTGAATTGATCTTTTTTCTGTTTGGTATTTTCTCAGCACATCTTTGGTTTGTGTTTTATGGTTACTTCTTGAATGTTTTTGTTTGCCTGAACATATCTGAAGTGTTTATGTACTGCAGGACTTCTGTTGCTTTAATGTGTGGCAGCTACATTGTGTGATAACCTTGAGGGACCATTCATTTGATTTTAAGTCCGAATAGGACAGGAACCAGGCTCTAGATTATAAAGGTGTATTGTGTGTGCCTGTAGGTAATTTAATTCATTGATTGTTATGGCAGCCTGAACCCAGAGCAGACGCTGCAGTGTAGCTCATGGTGTGTCTTTAAGAGGAGTCCGTTGCTGTCATGCTTTTCATTCCAATAATAGGGTGCAGTTTAAAGGCAGGGTTGGTCATTTTATCCAGATACACTTTGTCTTTAGGTCCTGACAGACATTATTAAATCTGAAAAAGGAACAAAGAAAATCAGTCATCTGTAGCATATTGTAAGCTTGTAAAAACTTTGACCGATGTCTGCCACGAGGTACCAATCCGATGAACCAATCACACCTCCCCATCTCCCTGCTCGTTCTCCATATGTTGCATGCACGAGCCCACAGTCAAAGCACGAGCTGAGGTCCGCTTCTGGACCAATGGAGCTTGTGCATGTAAGTGAGGGCCGTGGCTTTTGAGGGAGGGGGTGGGTGTTGACAGAGCCCTAAGGTAATCCTACTATCGAAATCATGCTAGTTTTTTTTCAAAAATTAGCAACCCTGCCTTTAACTTTAAAAACCACAGCTGGGACCAAACAGTCTTTTTGAGACCCCTTTGCTGGATGACCAGACGAGGCCAGGCAGCCTATTGAAAATGACTCCAAAATATAACATTGAAATCTGTTTCCAAAAGTAGGATTCCACACTATAAGTTGATTAATCTTCTTTCAATTGCTGACTCCTTGGTTTCAACCAGCTTGTAGCTGTCAGGCAGCTAGGATTCACTTTAGCTAAATCCTGACCTTAAGGTCTTCTTGTTTTCATCATTTGGATGTATGCTAGCTTGACGAGGAGCCAGATGAACCAGATGGGTGTTTATCAGAAAGTCATTTACCTGCTTCAACTCCACCTCTTTGAATATCTCAAATATGGCGACTGCCTTAGTTGGGCTTCATAACACCTTTTTCAGATCCAATGAGTGAAGTCACTGAGACTATGTCCATGTTTCAAACAGTCCATTATTTTTGATTTAAAATATATATAAAAAGAGAGAGAAAAACCTTCGGCACAGCTTTCCAGAGCTCAAACCTCTGTCATCAAACGGTCCATACCTTCAGTTTCACGCTCTTTTAAAATTGTGACATTGATTCCACACCTTCTCTGACTCTTTAAAAAACACTAATGTCTGTATTTGCATTTTGCACCCTGTGCCAAAAGAACAGTTCTGCCTCACTCCCTGCAAAAATTTACCTGAAGTTTGCCTACAGAGAGTCTGAGGTCACACAGGTGAAACAGCCACAGAGGTTAAACACAGTACTTTAAACATGTTAATAAGAGAGGCAGGGCCACTAAACACGCTACAGGTCACACACACACACACACACACAGAACTGAGGACAAGCAGCAGCTCTAATATGACTTGACAGGCGTTTGAAAGACAGGCCAACACTTCTCTTTATGTTTTCCCTTCGCAATAACCAGAATGCATGACTGAATCTGTGTTAATTATGGGGTGCCACCCGTCTGCCCCCCCCCCCCTCGTCACCCAGAGGACCTCAGACGTGAGGGAACAAGTGACACAAAGGAAGTGATGTGAGAAAGTCAACAAAAGTCAAAAGTCAGAGTCAGGGTTGATGAAAAATAGAAAACAAAACCAGACAACTTTTAATCAAAGAACCAGTAAAGCTTTTTCACCCACAATCCTTTGCTCTTAAACACACTCTGACTCTACGGGAGTGTTTCACGTAGAGGACCGGTGTGCGTGAAAGTGCACCATTAGCTTTGCCTCTCTTTTTATCACTCTGGGAAAACTATCCCTGCAGACTTCGCTCGGCTTATCGAAGGAATGTATCTGCATTCTTCACAACAGATTCCATCTTTGTTCTCGGGTCCAGATCTCCACCTCGGCCAGGACATGAGGCGGATTTTATCATGATTTTGGCTACTGCTGGGTATTTGTTTTATGTGGAATACTTGCACATATTTAGTAGAGAATTTAAAAGATGTATCAACAGCTTGAGACGCGTTTCCTTCAGCCACTAGTCAGAGGGATATTATTGCAGAGTCTGGTTCTTTTCTGACTGATTCATTCTAAAATAAATTATACTGTATAACTGCTCTGCTAGCACTCTTGACTTGGACTTGACTCTTACAGACGACTATTTAACTTGTGCTGTCGTCAGGAGAAATATCAGTCTGTGTTTACACATCACAGCTGTAACCCTGCAGGATAAAAAGCTTGGACTTGGCTGCCCCTCACATTAAAGTTTCCAACTTCCAGTTTACAGAAACGCTCGACAACATCACGAGTTTAGATCAACAATATCAAAGACGATACAAATTCACAGTAAAAGTCAGGTCTGTGCACATTTTAAAAGGAATTGAGGGATTTTTTTGAAGATGTAAATCCCACTTTCCTCTAGTTTCAGATTTCACAATTTAGGATACTTGAAATTTGTGAAATGGAAAATTATTTTCTCAGCATATATGGGAGCTCTTAACAGATCAGACGGCATGTTGGCAAGATGTGATTTTTGCTTGTAAGTAAAATAAAAATCATTGGAGCAGTGCTTAAGAAAGAGAAAGCGAAGTCTTTCATGGTACAAATGTTTCCCTAAAGCGGTCATTTAGTTTCCAAACCTCTGGGAGAACCTGTGGTAACTCTTTCTTACCTGGATGAGACACTTGCTGACGTCGCTGGCGCAGAGGGCCTTGTTGCAGCCGGAGGTTACGGTCAGGCCCGAGAGGAGGAAGAGGAGAGCGGCGGTGGCAGGGAGGATCAGCTGACCTGGCCTCATCCTGACGGCTCACCAGCAGCACGGCAACTGAAAACACCTACGTCAACACGAGAAACAGGACAGGACCTCAGAGACAAATAAACAAAAAGCTCATCACTGACATTCCACGAGGAGGAGAACGCTGCAGAAGGTGCATCATGGGTAAAAGACAAATTGTGATGTTTCTTTTGTATCCTATGTTACAGTATATTAGACTTTGTGACAGCAGAAATGGTTCACTCCTTGGAAGTTGGAGCAACTTTTTTTTTTTTTGGCACAATTTAGATTTCAACTAGCAAATTAATCAATTTCTCTTTGTAATCTTAAAGATTTTAGCGGTTTTCAACGAGGCAACAGAAAAACAAAAAATAGCTGCACTAAATCTTGACACTAACAGTATTCAGATAATAATATATGTCATGGATCATAGACAGGGAGGTCCATTTCTCATTTCTTTCATCAAGTTTTCATGAATTTCAGTTGTGTTTAAATTCAGATTCTCTTGAGCATACCCAGGTGCCTCCTCTGGGATATGTTAAGTCTGCAGGTTAGTGTTAGAAGATTTACCACCAGAGCTGTGCAAAAACAAACCTGCAAAAGCTTTACCATGTTAGCATCACTTTTCTTAAGGGCCTGCGTCACATTTCATTCAAAGCCAGCAGCACACACTCACGTTACTGCGGAATAACAACACACACACATCTGGCAACATCAGGTCCCTTCACCTATTTTTTTTTTCTCTCTCCAATTGTATCGCCCTCAACACACCGTCTACAATACCGTTTCACACTTTCACACTTCACCACTTTCTTTGCTCTACATTGTTCTGTTTCAGAGAGAGAGGGGGGGAGACAACATGTGAGGAACATTAGCTCAGCGCAGTTTCTTCACCTCTTTTTTTGCTCATAGCCAACAACTCAAAGCACTTTGTTTCACACGCACGCAGCTACAGAACGATCGAGCGAACAACAAAAGCGTCATCAGGGAGATCCGCGGAGTTTAAAACTTACCACAACGCTGTTTTTTAAAGGTCCTGGCTTCTCTTTTGAAGACGGAGTGTGTCTGTTTTCTCTTTGAACTTCTCCAGGATGGTGTTCTGCCGCCGCTCAAGTGTCCACTGTGTCCAGAGGGCGTCAGTCTCTCCGCTCCAGAAAGCGACAGGCAGTCGGGCGCCTTAAAGGCACACACTCCATTTTCTACCCAACATCTGAGAAGGGAAACACCGGGGCCTCAGGTCACACACACACACACGCATACCGGCTGTGTGTCTGCAGGGTATCGGACGTGAATGATCCAGCGGCCCAGAAACACAATCAGGAGAACTTTAACAACCTCGTCCTGCTGTGCGTAAAAGTCTGGCGCGTAAAATCCACCTTTATCGTCTTTTAGCCCAAACTCTGACCTCTGCTAGCAGGCTCAGGTAGGCTCTGCGTGGCTTATTTAACACCAGCATTTCTTGTCTTTCCACGCCATCCCCCCGCTCAATTACACATCCCTTTGTCTCCAGTGTTATCAGAGGACTTGTGAGTGCGCTCATTAGGTGAGAAAAGGGCGATTCGGAAGCTTAGGAGCAAAGGAGACCCCCCGCTGTGGAACGTCCTCGCGCTCATTTGTAGCCTCTCTGATGGGCCATTGAAGCTTACACGTGTTTTCCTGAGTCTTCTTTCAAAACACTCAACAGGCCGCATTTCCAGCCTGCAGGGGAGGAAGGTCAGAGAGAGAGAGAGAGAGAGAGAATTCCCATCAGATTAAAGGAGACCGACTCGTTTTCTTCAAAGTTAATGTAAGCCAAGGCAAATAAAAATGGTAATTATTTTATAGTTTATATAATTATTTTATAGAGAGAGAGAGTCCTGCACCCAAAAGCTCAATTTACATAGATGGGAAAATGCACTTCAAGCATCAAAGCTAACAGTTTAATCTATGACACAAGGCATCATTCAAATGAAAATAATCATTCAGAGGAGCACTTGTGTACTTCCTCTCACTTTAAATGGTTTATTTGTAAAAAAGAATCAGTGACTTATTGAGTTATTGACTTTAACATTCTTTTAATTACAACATGTAACACCCTATTTTTCTGAGCTTTCAACTCTGTATGAACCAGGACGCAGTCTCAGATCCTCTGGTAGATCTCTGCAGGCTTTTTTTTTTAAGGTCCAGGCTGAAAACCAAACAGGGACGGAGCTTTTTTTTTTTTTTATCAGAGCCTCCAAACTGTGGAGCAGCCTGCCAGAGGAGATCAGACAAGCAGCATCAGTCGCTTGTTTTATTTCTCTACTCATTTTTTTTATACTCTGTGATTTTTATCTGATTGTACTTTTATTTTAATCTTTAATTCTATCCGTCTCTTTGTATTTATTGCACACTGTGAAGCACTTTATCTGTCTTGCAAAGTACGATACAAATAAAATATTACGATTGTTCTCCCACATGAAACACATGTTCACAAATGTCTGTATTTTGACAGCCTTCTGATTGTACTTGTACATGATATGTTTTGATTTTCTTCTCTTTTTCTTGATTTCTCTCTTTCATTTCTAAAAGCCTCCTGTGGACACGTTACAAATGAACATTTTGCTTTTAACACTAAGAGCAGTGCATCTAGATGTCCATGTCAAATAAACAATTCCATTTATCATTATTAACATGTGAACTGCGTGAATGGAAAGTGAGTCCTATCATCTAAAACCATAAAGATTCTCTGTAGTAATTAAATACATTAAAACGACAGTTAAATATCCTGAAGGTTAACACTCTGAAAAAAACACGATGAAAGAACGCAGGAAAAATTTATAATGTTTTGTGGATTTATACATTTACATATTAGTGAAATATTAATGGTGCAACTGAAATGTGATCTACATCCAACCCATCAGCTCCATCACTGACGTCATGTTGACTTGGAGTGCAGTGTTGTGAACAGCGACATCTACTGGCTGTGGAGAATACTGCGCTATGGACTTGCATAAAAAAAAACGATGACTCATTTCTTCATGTTTCTTTTTAACGGTCTTGAATTGATAATTATAGTATAGTAGGCCTGTAGGGCGATTTTTAAAGCCTTATGATTGTAGTTGATTTTGACTTATTTCATATCTTTTTAATGTCACATTCATGTATTGTGTTAATATGCATGGCTGCATATTGTCAAAAAAAACAGTTTGTGCTGCTGCCCGTCTTGGCCCTCAGGCCTCTCCGGGTGTAATACAATAAAGATCAGATACGAATGTTGGAAACAAATTAAGAAATCCACTTCTGAATAAATCAACAAGTTAAGCTCTGTGTTTACAGTGTAGAGATGACACCAACAACACTTTTAATTTCACAACAAATAAAATTTATTCAATTATATATTACAAATATGTACAAGTCATGTAACAAGTAAATATTAAAATAGACATTTTTTAGAACTATCGTTCAAAAGGCAATATGTTGAAAAAATAGGTTTTGTTGTGATCTCACATTGAAACTGTAAAAGTATGTTTATTTTTTCTCCTTGGAAGCCACGACAGACTTGAATGTGTGCGAGACACAATGGACGACACATGAGGAGCGAGGCCGCAAATAGGACAGAACACAATGGCGCAAAGTAAGCTGGAACACGTCAGTAAACCTCACAATTAAGTCCACAGTACAGCTTTTTAGGAAAAAATTACAAACAACGCAACGCATGCACAGCATTTAATTGCCAAAGTTGAAAACACCAGCTGTGGCGTGGAACTCCAGATGAGGAAGGAAGAAACGGTCGAAACAAAATAACAACGAAAGCCAACACATGCTTAAGAGTTTAAGCCAACAACAACAAGAACATCACGGACGAAGAGGACTCAATATAAAAACCAACTTTGGTCCATTAAAACATGAGACAGAACAAGTTTACAATCAAAATATCTATTTTTTGTTTTTACAAGTTTAAAACAATAATTACATGACTATTTACAAATGCACAATTGTTTATGTATAAAATAAGTTAAAAAATTAAGAGCACAGTCTGTACACATTGTATGAACACGCACTTTGAAAACATTGAAACCTTTCTCTTGTGTCACCCTGCTTGATGAGGAGCAGGAGCAGCTGGTCTTCCTCCACACTTTGTTCACCGCTTCAGCTCCCGGCGCCACCCAGTCCGACTTTTGGTCTCTGCTTCCTGGACTTCATCTGCTGCCTGGACCCCCGTTTTCTGTGCGAGGACCACTCAGTCCTTGTAGGCGAGCTGAATCGGACTGTCAGAGCTCTGGAGTGAAATCCCCTCTTTCCTAAGTGCTCTTCTGAGTTACAGCCACGTTTTAAGTGCTTCACATTTTTCTCTCTTGTTCCTCGAATGTGCAGGGTGTGTCGTGTCGCCAACATGGACGCCTCTGTGGCACAGTGCTTTCAGTCCTGCAGCTCATATGGGGGTGAGGTCAAAGTCGTCGTTGACCTCCACGAGCGGGATGTAGAACTCGGGGATCTCGAAGATGCTGGTGGACTTGTAGGTGGCCGGGTCGAGCTCCTGCAGTTTGAGCTGCCACTCCAGGCGCTGCACGGCGTTCAGGGCGGCCGCCTCGTGCTGCTGTCTCATCAGAAGACATGTCTGTAAAGGGGAAAAAAGGGTGGTTTTGTCATTTAACACAGCGTTATATTTTAGATCAAGAATATCAGTAAATAAAAAATGAGCACAAACAAACTTAAAAGTCTACAAAAGTAATAAAGAGGAAATAAGCAGACTCAAAGTGAACAATACTCCAACAGGACCAAAAGGTGCTCAGGTGTAAAATGTTGTTAATTATTCATATTTTATGCAGGATCATTGATACTTAAAGCTCACCAGGAAGAGATCTCTTAATAACAGAAGAAACAACTACCGGTAGCTTCATCTTAACATGTTTAGAAGACAAGCTCCTGACAGACTTAAAGAGTTCGGAACCTTTCCTACCAGTGTCCACCTGTATCTCTGTACAAGTTTACTGGTCAAAAAGCAATAACACGAGACGTCTATAAAAAAGGAACCTCCTGGCTGTAAACGCAGCATGAACAATGTAAGCCATTAATGATGGAGTTTTTTTTTTCTTTCAGGAACAAGAGGAAGAACTTTTCCAGAACATGTCTCAATTTTCCTATGATTGGTTTATTTGTACTGTTGTGCTTTCTTTGATCTTCGGTTTGGTCCAAGGAATCTTAAAATCTGGACATTCCTGATACATCCTGCTAAAAACATAACTCTGGCACAAACCATGATGTGATTAAATAAAAAACAGAAGAGAGGAACTCAATCATCCGTGGTATTTGGTGAATCAGAAGCTCAGTTTACATTCACACCGAATATTCTCTGCCTCGTCCTCTACTGTAAGTGATCTCTAGTTAATAAAGTTGTAATAATAAACCATTTATATATCTTTACTTAGACCGTGACTGACCCAGTTAAGATGTCCTCTACATTTAATGACTTCTTGTGGAAGATAAACACAGACTTAGGTTGCTGTCTGGAGTTTAAACCATCAGTTACAACCAGTCCTGACTTCAAACTGGACATCACGAGTGTCTCTGAAACACTTTCAGACGTCAAAAGATAATAAACTTGTTTAAAATTTATTCGTCAATTTATATACATTTATCCATGCAGGTAAACTCAGGTTTAGTCACTAGTTGTGCCATTGATGTTTTTACAAAAGTGTTGCAATCAAGAGAAACGCCTTAGGAAAAGGTAAAAGCTTGTTCTGCAATAATAAAAATGGATCGTTTTGAAGGATGTCAAGTTTTTTTTGTCTCAAGAAGGAATATAGAACTCTGCTTTAGGCAAAGATGAACAAAAAAACATTTTCAAGGTTTCATTGGTGAACATAAAGTCTGATTCTCCTTCACTCCTAGACTCAGTTTGAATTAAGTCCTAAGCTGATGCGCATATATACTTTTTCACTCCATTTGGGGTCATCATTATCTGTTGTTTCTTTGAGAGCTCCACTTATTTTTCTTGTTATCTCGGAATAACAATGCTGTTTTTCTTTTTAATTACAACAGATTTATTTATGTTATCTTGTGAAAATTGGGTCATTTTCTGGCTATCTGGAAAATACACACAGGCTGGTCACTGGAATAGGCCAGACCACAACATGCCATGCAGCAGCCATAGCCCACACCAATGAGGAAAGTG